ATCCTGTGCTAAATGCCGAGCCTGCATGCAACCGACATAGCTAGAGGTAACTGCGACCAAATTTAGGTTTTGTATGTTCATTTTGCTGGGAAGAGGAACCCAGTGCAAATGCAAGGCATGTGCCAGAGAGCACGAAACTGCCTGCCCTGATTTTCACATCTGTTAATCTACAGAGCGCAATCTCTTACTTGTTCTTAAAGTCTTCCACCATGTCCTGCATGTTCCTCAGCTCAGAGTCCAACCGTCCCCTCTCTCCCATAAGACTGTCTAGCTGCCGCCTGAGGTTGTTGATGTAGGCTTCGAAAAGGGGCTCCAGGGACTTCCTGGTGACCGTGTGGCCCTGCTCTTGCAGGAGGCTCCATTTGGTCTCCAGCACTTTGTTCTGCTGCTCCAAAAATCGCACCTGAGAAAACAAAAACAGGCATGCGCTGAAACCTGTCCGAACAGCACACAAAACCCCCTGCCAGGGAAAGGAGGGATCGTTCAACATGGAAAGAGGCAACAAAGAGACAGAAATTAAGATCTTCCCGCAGGATTTTAGGGCACCAGGTTCTCCAAAGTAGCACAAGCAGCTGAGATGCTTGGGGAGAATTTTCAAGAGCCATTAAGCAGGCCAAGCGCCTGTAATTGCAACTTTAGCTGTTTCTCCCCCCACTGGATGCTCAGCCCACCTTACTGGTTTAAACTGGTAGTATCCCATTGAGAGGTGTGGAGCTTTGCAATTTTACAACCAGTGCAAGATCCATCCAGTGCCCAGGCAATTTTTTATGGGGAAGGGAGGATTTCCAATTTAGCAAAAGGAGGTGCTGAAAAACTCATCCTTGCAAAGAGCATAAAACAATTCTTAGTTTTCTGCCAAACCTGTGCTGTTTGTCGGCTGGGATTAGTTCAGGCAAGCCCCCAAATCCAAAGGAAGTTTCTTCCTGTTCTTCTTTCCCGAGGCAACTGAGAATATGCACGGGCTGGTGTTTAAGACCGAACTCTCACCTTGTCGATGAAGGAGGCAAATTTGTTGTTGAGGGTCTTGATCTGCTCCCGCTCGTGTGTTCGCACCTTCTGGATTTCTGGGTCAATATCCAGCTTGAGGGGTGCCAGGAGGCTCTGGTTGACGGTCACTTCGTGGATGCCACCGGGTGGGCAAACAGGGAACCCGGGGCCACCTCGACCACCAAATCCAGGACCTCCCAGCCCAAATCCACCACCCATCCCATAGCCGCCACCACCACCAGCTCCTCCTAAGCCAAAACCAGCGCCTGCTCCACCACCATAGCCAAGACCAAAGCCAGCTCCTCCACCAAAGCCGTATCCGCCACCGGCTCCGCTCCGTAGACCTCCGCCGACCGAGCTGTAGGAAATTCTTTTACTTCCACCCAAGTTATAGAGACTTCTGCTGCCGAAGCCACCACCAGCTCCGAAGCCTCCTCCACCTCCAGCTCTTCCTCCTCCAACTCTGGAGACAGAGACGGAGCTAAAACTGCTTCTGGTACCACTGCCACCTCCTACGATAGCAGACCCTGAGCTAAAGCCCCTCATGCCCCCTCCAGTTGATGATCTGTAAGAGATCCGACTCATGGTGGCTTGTTCAATTGGAAATGCAAAGAGCAGGAGGGGAAAAAAAAAGCTGGTGAATAAAAGCTGAGCAGCAGGAAAGGAGCAGAGGGCAACGGAGACAGAAACCCCTGTGATGGGAGAGCTCGGGAGCGTCCTCTTTTATCTGCTTGGAAAACTTGGCACGGGAATTCAGAACTTGACGTGCCTTGCAGCAACTTGCCTTGTCAAACACACCTAGGCTACGGCGAGGCGCTGAAAAATGCATTGTTTGCAGGCAAGAAAGTAACGGAGTGAGGGAGCTCCCCCCACCCCCAAAGCCTGGCGCTCTGAGTCATGAAATGAGAATTGAATGGGACGACTCGCTGAGGTCTGCGCTCACGAGCAGGACGCAACACGATTCTCCTGAGACCCTGGGAGCCAGTTTTCCTTATGCCAGCCAGGGCTCACCCGTTGCAGCGAGCTTCCTTGAGCTGAAGCCTTTGCAAGGTGAAGTTTAGGGTTCCACACATCACACGACAAGCAGGGCAGCACAGACAGGGGCTGATCTTTCCAAGACTGCCTTGTTGCAGTGTGCATGCCCTGTGGTTGGCTTGGGAAAGCTGAGGCTGGAGGTGATTTTACTTCTCAGCACTGCTACTTTGATTTCTTCTGGAAAAGGGCTCTAAAGGATTGCAGGCTGGTGGAGAGGAGCTGGGTGGAAGTTGTCTCCTGGTAGTATTTTCTGGGATCTTACCAAAAAGTCGCCTCTCCTCTTTGCAGGAGGAACTGAGAAATTAGTTATCGTGGCTTTCAAAGACAGCAAGGGAATCGCCCTTCCAAAATAATGTAAAACTGCGTTAAATAGTACTCTGGCACTTCTAAAATAGATATTAAAGAGATGATTGAAAGGGTTGCATTTGTTTTGAGTCTTCTCGTCAGGCTGAGGGTTCAAAAGCTCTCTGTGAAGTGGTATTTTTATCACTCCCCCCCCATATTTACCCTCTAACCAACAGTTTCCACGTCACTGCTGGCTCCTTGCGATGTTCTCTCCAGGGGAATTCGCCCACTTTCCTTACAGCTTCCTCCCACCCCTCCTTCACTCTGCTGAGATCATGCAGTCGGATGATTTTCTAAAACATCTTTGGCCCCTTGATCTTGAGCTCTCAGGTGAACCCAGGAGCTGCGATGGGGCTGGGTCGTGTTTTGGGATGGTACAAAGGCAGGAAAGCCAAGACCTCTTCCCTCGTGCCCACAAAACGTGGGTTACAAGAGATGTCCCCTCCTTCCCACCCAAAGCAAGTCTGCGAAGCGAACTCAGCCCAGCCACATCCTTGTGCTGCGAGGGCCACCGACCTCCGCCGGGTTGTGTCTCAGTGCACAGTGGAGAGATAAAACTGAATCAAAAAGATTTTTTGAAATTGGCTACGTGAGCAATAAGTACGGGAACTTAATCCAAAATGAGTTGCTTAAGGGTATCTGCAGCATCTCATAGCTTGTTTCTGTTGATGTGCTTCCAACTGCCGTTTTCTCTGTCTGGGAACTTGAAAGAACCTGAGCAGAAGGGATTTTTTTTTGTTTTCCTTATTGCAATCATAAAAGCCGGCGCTCACAACTATCATCTCCTGCAAGCGCTCCTGTCACCGCCTATTGCCAATAGTGTGAGTCACGAGCACCCGAAGCGCGTTCAGGCGAGCTATCGGGGAGCCGATCGCCGGGCGTGCTGCACGGGAGCAAGCCGGGCGGTAGCAAGGGGGTGCTCTCGCCTCGGGAGTGGAGACCGGGAACCCGCCGGGTGCTGCGCAATGTGCTGGAAATGCCAAAATTCCCAGGAAAGCTGCACCCCCACGCGCGTGTCCTGAAGCTGCTGCAGCCAGCCCTGAACCCTGATTTCATGGGTGATGCAGGTAACCCCAGTAACTGCTGCTGGTTTGGATCAGCAGCAATCCCAGGAATGTTACCAGGCTTATACTGGTATTGAAACTAAATAAATTGTGTTGGAAACGTGGCAGATGTATGGAGATTTGGTTTCCTAAGCTTGCAGATGGGAGTTGGCACATGTGAGCTGGATCCGGTGGAAGGGGGCCAGGCAGCAGCGGCCGGGAGCCTGCCTTTGACTTCCAAAGAGCTATGCAAAGTCACACCTGGGAACCAGAGCACAGGCTGCAAATGCTTTAATTAAAGAAAAGAGAAAGGATTCATGTTTAAGGCAGTCATTACCTCCCCAGCTCTTCTAGGAAAGCCTGTTGCTGCAGACAACGGTAATTAAGTGGAATATTACAAAGGGCAAAGCAAATGATGGTTTAGGCACAAAAAAAAAAAAAAAAAAAAAAAAAAAAAAACACGGAAAATTCTTGCAGTATCTCTCAGTCCCACAAAATTCCCTTGCGTGTTTTTGTCACTCGCATGCACTGTCCTCCTCAGATTTGCCCCCTCGGAAGGGAAGGCTGCTCACAGAGCGGGTGCCAGTTTGGGAGGCAGGATCTGTGCAGGGGTTGCCTGCTGGGGGAGGGCACCGCTGGAGGAATCATGTCCTGGGGAGGGGAACGGGGCCAGCCGAGAGGTTTGAGATGTTTGTAGGAGCTTGGCTGCCTTTCAGTATCACCGCCTCTCTTTTGGGCTGTTATTTGCTTTTTTTTTTCACCCCAAACTGGGAAGAAAGACATTCAGAACTGGTAGGGTTAGTTAAGGTTAGGTTGTCTTTAGCTGCATTGATTCATGCTGTGCTGTGTAAGTCAGCATTAGCACAGGCAAGTACAGAAATCAAGATGACTCACAGTTTATTTTTAACCTTTGCTAATTTCTGACCAATCTGTCCAAAAATTAGCATCCTCCGTAGCAGCAGGGGCTGAGGGGTTTTGTCCCCAGACTTTGGTCTCTTTTACTGTGGCTCCCTTGATTTTCTGAGTGAAGGGAGACTGGGTGCTTCTGTGTTTGGGTGCATCTGGGTTTCAGCAAGGTTTTGCTGAAGCGCTTGTGAGCGTCTGCTGCAAACCCGCGGGGCTGGTGTGTGCTCACTCACTCCTGCCCATTTGCTGTGCAGGGTTATGAAAAGCTGGGATGTTGAGAGGTCAGGGGAGAGCAAAGCGTCTGACTCTTTGAAATGCAATAAGGTATGAGTGTTTGTCTGAGGTTTTCTTTTTTTTTTTCCCCTTTTTTTTTCTCCTTTTACAGTGACCAAAACACCTGCATCATGTGGTAAGTTGCTCAGTTCCAGCTCACCGAAACCCATCCTCAGTCTAGATTGTCCTGATAAAATCCTCCCCCAGATGCTAGGTTTTGCTATGTCTTTTGAGAAAGCAAAAATTGAATTCTTTTTTTTTTTTTTTTTTCTGTCTGAGCTAGTAGAGCCATGCAAAAACCTCCCTGGCAAGAAGAAAGGCTTTTGGATTAACCACAGCAATGGGCTAAGAAAGGAATGGTGACTAATTTTTTTTGTTACTTGATGGATAAACCACCCCCCTCCTCCTCTTTTTCCACATTCTTCAGTTTGTTTCGTGACAGCATGCACCTCATTTCAAGCTTTTCAGCATTTATTTTAATCAGAATTTTGAAACTTTTCCCCCAAAAGTGAAATGAAAGCCTCCTCCCGTTCACTTCACTGAACATTGGGAGTATTTCATGCTGCTGGTTGTGCTTTAGAGCAAAAACATGTAGGAACAAATAAATTACAATCCAGTTTTATTGGACACGTTCCCGAAAGAGAGGAAAAGGAAAACAGCATAATTTCACTATCACTGAAGTATAAAAAGCTGCAATTTTCTTTTTTAATGGTATTTTCACAAAAATAAAAAAAGACAGAGTGGAGTGCTAGAGGGGCAAATTCTATCAGAAGGGGGGCACTGGTGTCCCTTTGGGTGCCTGCTCCCGCTTGCCATGTTTCCCATGTGCTGGGCTGAGACCTGACTTCACTTTTTGGTTCCCCAAATGCATCTCTTTTGGCAGAGAAACCCACACACGGTGAACAGCCGAAATACCCCAAGGAGCAGCATGGACGTGGCCCTTCAGGCTGGTTTTGCAGTGACTCAGAAATCACTCCTAATAGGCTCTGTGCTCCCATAGTAAGGGATATTTTAAGAGGGGCAACGAGCTTGCAAATCACTGCCTGGGATCTTTCAGCAACCTCCTGAGTATTTCTACATAGCAGAAAAAAAATCCCTCACGTGTGTATGAAAACAAGTTGCTTAACTTGAAGGGGTGAGTTTGGTCCATCCCAGCAGGGAGGGCAAAGCAGGCTGGATTGAAGCCAAGGTCCCAACCTGTCCCTGGTCTTCTGCAGGCCAGAACCGTGAATGCAAAACCAAGCTAAAAAACCCAGTTATTGCATCTGCACCACTTTTTGATCTGTGTTGACTGATGGCTGTCAGGTAGCTGCAATTACAAACTGCTCAGACTCATTAAAAAACAAACCAATCCCCCAAAGGACAATTCCCAATTCAGAAAATCACTTAGAGTCGTGTTTGCCTTTTAAACCTGTTTCAGGTATTTTGAGAGATCTGGTTAGCTCATGCTCCGCTGTTTTTCTTGAGGTGGGACCCAAATGCTTAAGAACTATGGTGCAAGGAGCCAGGGGCAGAGCAGGTGGAGGGGTGGTGGTGTGCGGGGGCGATGCGGGAGCAAGGCAGAAGCGATGGTTTCGGGGAGGGTCTGGCGCCGGTTTTACTCAGGCTGTGTAGCATTCTTCAGGCTTTGGCTTTTTATGCTCTTTTTGCTGGAGGAGGTTTTGGAGACGATTTTCACACCTGGGTTGGAGCCTTTTGCACTTCCAGAGCTGAAATTCCCCCCTCCGGTGCTCAGCCCGCTGCTGCCGCCGCTGCCACCTCCTCCAGTAGCCAAGACTGCTAGGGATGCTGAGACTGCTGCCTCCTCCAAATCCTCCTCCAAGACTACCACCACCACCAAGTCCAAGTCCTCCTCCATTTCCAAAGCTGTAGCCTCCACGGCCACCGCCTCCTCCAAGACCAAAACCGCTTCCACCGCCTCCTCCAAGACCAAAACCGCTTCCACCACCTCCTCCAAGGCCAAAACCGCTTCCACCACCTCCTCCAAGGCCAAAACCGCTTCCGCCGCCTCCTCCGCTTAGGCTCAGTCCACCAAATCCTCCTCCCAGGCCACCTCCACCAGCTGGTCCAGAGCTGGAGCTGATCACCGCTGCAGGAAGATAGAACCAGAGGGTTGAACCTCTGCTCTGGCAACCCCCCAGTTCCAGAAAGCACCATCATCGGGACTTGGACCCATGGGACTTGAACCCAACTTCTGCCCCCACCCACTACTGGTTCCGGTAGGCTCTGAATGTCTTACGTGGAGCAATTGGGTAAAACCTCCCTTTTCCCAGGGTTACTCAAAGGCTCTGCTCCCAATGGGCCCAAGGCACAATGAGCACAGTGATACTTACAGTAGCTGATGGGGTTGAGTCCCTCGCCACTCAGCCTGTTGGAGGGCAGACAAAGGGGAGGTCAGAGACAAAGTACGGAGGCAGGTGGGGGAACCAACCCGCTGGCAGGGGAACAGTGATGTTCACTATTCCTTCTGCAGGGATTTTGTTCCCACCTGCTCTCCTCGCCCTCCAGCAGCTTCCTGTAGGTCGCGATCTCGATGTCCAGGGCCAGCTTGACGTTCATCAGCTCCTGGTACTCGCGCAGCTGCCGGGCCATGTCAGCTTTGGCTTTCTGTAGGGCATCTTCCAGCTCTGTCATCTTTGCCTTGGCATCCTTGAGAGCCAGCTCCCCACGCTCCTCGGAGTCTCCGATGGCCGTTTGCAGCGTGGCACACTGCAAGGGGAGGGATTGGAACTCCTGACTGCTGCTTGTCTCTTTGGGTAAGACTCAGGCATGGAAGAAAACTGTTCTGGCCAGGGTGTTTATGAGCAACAGTTCAGACTGGGGTCATTCTACCATAGCTAGCATTGCTGGAGTTGAAATGCCAGTCTACAAGAATGATTTTGTGCATGGTGTGGTGCAGTACCCTTTCTGGTACATCATGCTCTGCGGCTGCTGATGTCTCTCCAGTCAGCAGCATGGTGGCAGACAGCAGAGAGCTGCTAAGGGACCACAGAGCAGTGCTCTGTGGGCATCTTGTGCCATTCCTACCTGGTTCCTCGTGTTCTCTATCTCTGCCCGGATCCTCTGGATCAGCCGGTTGAGCTCAGAGATTTCCCCCTTGGTGTTGCGCAGGTCATCCCCATGCTTCCCAGCTGTGGCCTGCAGCTCTTCGTACTGAGGTTCAGGAGGAAGAGTGAACAGTCTGAGCTCTCCAAGCGGGCAAGATGTGGCTTAAACAGCCTCACACAGGGACAGCAGTGACTTTTCCCAGAAATACATCCACGGCATCCAGGGGTCTGCTCACCTTGGTTTGGTACCAAGCCTCTGCCTCAGCCCGGCTCCTGTTGGCAATGTCTTCGTACTGAGATTTGACTTCAGCTATGATGCTGCTGAGGTCCAGGTCCCGGTTGTTGTCCATTGACAGAATGACAGCAGTGTCGGACACTTGCGCGCTGAGCTGAGCCAGCTCCTGTGGGGAAGCACACAGGGTTCCGTGCCAGCTGTACTTACCTCTTCACGCGCCCGGGGTGGCAGCAGGACGGAAATCAGGGGAGGGGGTGTCTGTACCGCATCATAGAGGGCTCGAAGGAAGTTGAGTTCATCGGTCAGCGCATCCACCTTGGCCTCCAGCTCCACCTTATTCATGTAAGCAGCATCCACATCCTGGAAAAGAACAACAATGGGCCTGTCTGCAGCACCTGGTAGCTCTTTTTTAGCTCAGCCAAGGACTGACCAAGCCCAGAAATGGGCTTGGGACCTGGGATTCCTGGCACTGCCAAGCATCTTCATTTCTACGTGGTCTGTTCAGCCCAGGTGAGCGTGTACATTGTAGGACAAGAATTTACTTCCATCCTCTTTCAACCCCCTTCATTCCTTTCCCCCAAAACCATACCCCAACTGTCAGCTTTTAAAGGACAAGGATGCAGCTCCATGAGATCTCCCACCCTCTAGGGCTCTCCCAGCCTACGCAATGCTCAGCATCCGTTAAAACTCCTGTCTCACCCACCTTCTTCAGCACCACAAATTCATTCTCTGCTGCTGTGCGTCGGTTGATTTCCTCTTCATATCTAGAGGGATAAAGGGAAAGACGTGCTGGATCATGTCTCAATAAGCAGAGAAGTTGTACAGGGAGGACTACGAGATTATTTGGGCTGGGTATGACGTTTTAAGTAAAGCAGTTGCAGAGGGTTTTCCTTTGCAAGTCTCATCACAAGCTGTCATGTCCTGGCTGAGCCTGCATTTTCTGATTGGAAAAAATTGATGGACCATTTTTCCCCTGTTGTGCCAGAAGGCAGGGGCTTTGCAGGGAGAGGTCCCTCATGAGAGCTGTTTATTAGAGGGAGATTCATCAGGTGCCCTGTTACGGACTAGAGCACAGACTGGAGATCCTTTTTTTTCCCTTTCTCATAGAAAGTTTGATGAATATCTCAGGCTAGGTGCTTGTCCTTGAGAAAGCTAGGTTTAAGTGAGACGAATCCTACTGCCTAATGCTAAACTGAACCATTTGCATCCCATTTCACCCCAGGCTGCCTGGATGTGCCACTGAACAGGCACTCACTTGTTCTTGAAATCCTCAACAAGGTCTTGCATGTTCTTCAGCTCCCCATCCATGCGTCCTCTCTCGTTGAGCAGGTTGGCCAGCTGCTTTTTCAGGTTGTTGATGTAAGCCTCGAAGAGTGGGTCCAGGTTGTTTTTGCCTGCACTGGTTTTTTGACCCTGGTCCTGCAGGAGGGTCCATTTGGTCTCAAGCACCTTGTTCTGCTGCTCCAGGAAGCGGACCTGAGCATTGGGAAGCAGAAGGGGGTTAGCATAAGAAGCCTGTGAGGGTGCTGATGGCCAAGGGGCAGTAACTGGGACTGACGAATAGCACAAACCAAGTGAATCCCAAACCAGGAGTGTTAAATCCAGCTGTGAGTATCATCCAGATTACCCAGTGCTATGTTTGCCCATCCAGTAGCTAAGCAAATTTGCCACTGGTGGACAATTCTAATTAGAGACAATTTAATTCAGGAAGCCAATGAGTAATCATTAGAAAATGTGGGTTCAGCTCTTTCATCACTCGCTTTCTTTAACATCCTTCGTTTTTTCCTTCTTTGCAAGTGATATTTATCTTCCTTCATTAATGCTAATATTGAGTGCTACAGGTTAAAAGACAGGTACTTAATTGCCTTTTCTATTGCTCATGTGTACTACATATAAGGTATTTAGACAAAGAAAAGCTGAGAAAGGACTTAAGTTGAGTCTATATAAGAAGGACCTTCACTTTCAGACAATAAAGCTGGACACAAGAAGCAGCACCTCTGCTGTGATTCCTTGCAGAGACAGCTAGGCTAAGCAACTGGCGTACTGTAATTTGAGATAATTTATTTCTCAGGCACAAAACCTGAATCTTTGTTACTAGTTTTCAAGGTCTAGCTTTCTGTCCTGTAACTGTTCAGAAGTAGGCTCTTTTTTGATTACTTTGTTAAAACATGCAGATAGGAAATATGCAATAGACTGAAGATTTCTGAAGCCATATTTTCATAGATACAAGACTGTCTTGCTCCCTAGCACGGTTCCACAGCGCTTGATGAAATCTCACCTTGTCAATGAAAGAAGCAAATTTGTTGTTGAGGGTCTTGATTTGCTCCTTCTCATCTTTCCGCACCTGCTGGATGTTCGGGTCGATCTCCAGGTTCAGGGGTGCCAGGAGACTCTGGTTGACCGTCACTTCTTGGATGGTACCGACTCCCGGTGGGCCACCACCAAATCCCGCTGGACTCCTGCCACCACCCAGCCCTCCACCAAGTCCTCCCAGGCCCCCTGCTCCACCAAAGCCAAACCCTCCACCACCTCCCTGTCCCCCACCAAAGCCAAGCCCGCCAGCACCTCCGCCCAAGCTATATCCGCCACCTCCACCACCGAGACCAAGTCCAAAACCACCGCCAGCTCCGCCGCCGCCACCGGCTCCACCCCCGAAAACAGTCCTGTAGCTGCTTCCAACCCCGATGGATATCCTCTTGGTACCACCAAGGTTGTAGAGGCTCCTGCTGCCGAACCCACCGCCACCGCCACCTCCTCCAATGAGCCTTCCAAAACCTCCTCCACCTCCTCCAGATCGTGCCACAGACATCGAACTGAAGCCAGCCCTGTTGCCACTGGGAATGACGGCTGAGGCAGCGCTGTAAGATCTGCCTCCACCGCCGGCTCTCATGCTGTACGTCTGCCGGTTCATCGCAGCAGGAGATCACGGCCCGGCACAGGCACGAAGCAGCAAGCTGGGAGAGTGCAGCTCTCTGATGGAAGGGGGTGCAGGATGCCCTTTTTATCCCTCTGGGGATCTGGGCTTGGTTGCATGGAAGTCCAGAGATCAATTTAGTGCCTTCATGGTTTTGACATGCCAGGCAGCCAGCTGTCTTCTTGAAACTTGTTAAACAGTGATTGCACTCAAACACACCTCTTGGAGCCAGTGTGAATCTGCTCAGCTAGAAGAGTTATCTAACTGTGATTTCTGGCAGGAATTGCTCAGCCCTAGTGCAAAGCTGCTATATGCTTGCAGAGCATTTAAGTTCCTTTCTGCAAAGCCAAATAAATGAAACAAAAAAGGGTGAAAAAGATAAATAGCTACCCTGATACTCCTACCCTACTTACAAGATGTAGTAGATCAGTGTGGAGCTTAGTGGAGGCTCCTCTGAAGTAACTTGATTGAAAGGTAGTGAAACTAAAATGGCTAAAACTGAACAAAAATATTTCATCTGAATGAAAATATTTCGTTTCTTTGCCCAAAGGCAAAGTGCAGGTGTGATGTTCATGAAGCCTGACATCTCATTCAGGGCTCTAATTTATCCAGTTGCCCTGGACTGTTCACACTTGTTGGGCAGAGACCATCTTTTGAGCTGACTCGATACCTATCACAAAGAGGTCCTGATGATTTTCCTCTGAGACACTATATTTGGGTGTCATCTCAAATTTTGACCATTTAATATTAGGTGTTTAGTCTATGGCAGGTTTTCTAGGCTGCCTTTCTAGACATATTGGCATCTCCAGAAGACAACTCCATCCCACCCAGAGGTGGCCCTTGCACTGCCTCCAGTCATCTGATGATGTGGCTGATACATTTCCATCTTGATCTGAAAAACATTTCAATGAAAGAGGCAGATTTTCTGAAAAATGTTGCCCAGCTTTGTGGAATTGTATTATTTGCATGTTTAACATTAGGGTGCAATCGGTCCTGAATTTCTAGCTCTTTACAGGTGCGATTTCTTTTTGAAATCTTTGAACCTTTCCATTCAAAATTCAGCCAAAAGCAAAGATTTAACCAGCATGAAAAATACTCCCACAAATTCTGTTTATTTTATTCCCTGGCATCCTTGGGAAAATAGAGCAAAGTCAATAGGGTGTGGTAGCATTTTCTGGCCTCTCAGTCTGTGTGGAACTGCAATGTTTACAGTATTTTATTCTTCGTGTTTAAGAGTTCTGTTCATTTTCAGCATGTTGTTCTCCTGCTGGCATTGCCCGTGCTGTGCGCATGACTAGGGCTTAAACATCTGCCTCCGTGTTTGCAGGACAGGACTCCACATGCCTTCGAAATTCACTCATGTGCCCCAGTGGCACAAAATCATTAAGTATGAGCTAAAGTCCCACTGGCATCTCTGGAAGAAAAATTAAGCAGGTGCTTCGTGTCCTACCAACTACAGAAGATCAAATGTCTGATGATCCCTGGAGAAATGCTGCCAGTCAGGCTCAAACCAGGACAGTTGGGTCACTCAGACTGAATTTCCCATTGCAGTATGAAATTCCTGGTTGGTGCACATCGGCTTGCTTCTCTCTGGAAGAATGTTGGGCTGAAGCTACCTGGGATGTTACCTGAAATTCATGAACGTCTTCATTATTTGCATAAAATTCAAAGCCCAGGTGCGATGGGAAAATGAGATTGTCTTCATGCTTTCTTGACCCCAGTAAGTGCAGATTGTCCTGAAGCTGACAAACAAGTTCTGATCAGATATTAGAGGTGAATGAATATAATGGCATTAAGGGTGGGGCTGCCAGAAGAAAGAGGGAATTGTCATTTTAGGCTCCCACACTTGTCTTCTTTCAGCCCGCTGTCACAAGGTATGCGAGGCTGGGGGAGATGCACCATTTCTTTACTGGGCTTGTTTATTGTGTGCAGGAGCTGGCATTTGTGGGCTCCGTACCCAGGGGCAGATGTGGCTTTTCACACCTGTCCGTTTGGATCAGCTCTGCGAGTCTCCACCAAACAGCAGAGGTGCACATCCCGAATGACACTGAGTGGGATTTAGCTCCAACCACCCCCAAAATGTCCTCAATCTGGACTGCTGGCCTTTTTTTTTTTTTTCCTCCAAAACAACCTGTTCTACTTGAATGTCTCCAGGCAGGCAGCAAAAACCATGAGTTTTGCAATTCTGGGGAGTTGAGAAGGGCAGGGACGATTAAAGGCATTCTCCCAGAAATGCAAGAGCTGCTGGGCCACTTTGGTACCCTGGGGAGCCGTCTGGTTATTGGTGTGCACTCTCTGTTTTGCAGGGAGGTGATCAGAATACATTATGAGCTGTTAGGGCACCGGCATCTTCTTGTTGGGTGTTTCGGCTTGTTATTTACATACAAATGAGATGAAGTCCGAGTCATATGCAATGAGACAGAAAAGCTGAAGATAACCGTTTCGGAAGACATCCTCGTTAGGTGGGTGGGTTTTGCCTTCTCGGCAAGGGATGATCTGTTTGGATTTCACCACCCACCAACCCAGACAGTGCTGCTAAGCCATACTGTTTGTTAAAACATAATTAGCAATCTGCTCCAAGGTGACCACATCCCATAAACCTTTGTGCTTTCTGTCCGAAAAGCCCAGCAGACGCAGGGAGCCCGAACCCACCACGAGAGCAGCAGGGGTGGATGCTCAGCTGCTAGGAACCGGCGGTGGGTGCATCCCCATGGCACTAGCACGGGCAGGCTGAGCCCGGCAGGGTGGCTGAGCTCCTCCATCAGGGAGCGAGACGTGGTCGGATGGGGCAGACGAGCCAAGAGTCAGCAGCAAAGTCTAGGAAGTGGAGCGGGAAGTCGGGAAATAAATTGTGACACCCACTGCTCAGTCCACCTTTCAGGGGGTAAATTAACCTGCCCACACCCTGCGCTGCTTCCAGACTGGGAGAAGAGAGACAGATTTCTCCAAAGGGCAATTTGGAGTGCAGATGTCTCAGGGGCTTTTGGTGGTGCCTGGGCAAGCCGTGGGAGGGAAGCAGCCGTCGGGGGCGGACGGTTTTCCTGGCAGGCAGCTGCGCATCCAGCTGTGGTGAGAGCCACCACGGCAAACCCTTTCCAGCCGTGATGCAGAGACCTTCCTGCGGGTCTCCACACCTTGGAAACTGGGGACCCTCATACAGAAAAAGGATGGGGCAACCTGACCTTACCTGAAGCTGAGCCACCTGGAAGGAATTCTGCCTTCCTTGGTGTCAGTGGGTGACACCTGTCTGCAGCCCATGGCCCCCAATGTTTGTGTAGGCTTGGGTGTTTGACAGAAGGTGGGTGTTCGAGGAGAGAGGGCCTGGTGCTGTATTTTGGAAAGGCAGAGTTTTGTTTCATTTGAAAATTAACCTGCTCTTGTGAGAGGGCTTCAGTTTGTTTGTTTGGTTGGTTGGGTTTTTGCTTCCACCTGAGCTGGTTTTCACTGATTGCTTTAAATGGGGGCCTGGCTGCTTTTTGTTCTGCCTCAGAGATCCCAAGGGAGCTGCACATCTCACGAGAGGTTAAATTCCCTGCTTAATGCTGAGTTTCCAGACTTCCTTGTGACCACGCTCATCTCTGGATGGAATAAAGGTATGCAAAAGTGCATCAGGAAGGAGAGCAAACAAAGTCTCTGAAACTTTGTTAAAACTCCACATCTTTTGAGCTACAATCCCCACCCTTGTGGAGTTTCATGTCTGAGAAAACATCCCTGCTTTTGTAAGGGCAGGGAGGGAAATAAAACCCATGAAGCAGAGCATGAATTATGCATGTAGTTTATTGAAGGTACAGCTGAAAGTTTGGAGTAAGCGAAGGATAATCAACTGTTCACTTACACATTAAAAGCGTTAAATCCGTCTATCTAGTACACACACAGGAAAAACAACGCATGCATTTAACTACAGAAATATAAGGTGCTCGTCGGTGTGTAATTAAAATCTGCTCTACCAAACCTGGTGTAGCAACTTGGACCAATTTACATAACCATTACCAACCCTCTCATAAACAGGAAAAATTGGATTTTCTGGTGTCATTAAAGAAGCCAAAATAATGGCTTCAGCTCCATCTTAGACGATTTCAGATGTGGCTTCTCTTTCTGAAATCGGGATGACCAAATTTTTAATCCTTTTGCAATAGCTGTGTTAGGGAAAGAAAATCCCTGTGGAAAAGGGGTTGAGCAAAGAGCCAGGATGGTGCGAGCAGACAGCTTTAGCCTGTCTGAAATGAAAATCTCACCTGGCTGAGGTCTTGGGGGGTTGGTTACCCCCCCCCTCCCCTCCCCCCGGAGAACTGTGAAAGAGAAGGTGGGTTGTGATCATGCAAACCGTTTTCGGCAGAGCTACCAACCTAATTGCGTGCGTGTGGGCAGTGTGTGCTCGTGTGCTTCAGCTGTCAGAAGGAAGGGGAATACTGTTTTATTGCAGAAATGCTGATTATTTTAAAATGTGCTGCGGCGTCGCCCTTCTGGACCTCTACCGGGTTGTTCTGACCACGCGCACGGCTGTGCTGTACCTGCTCCCGGCACCGCACACCCCCGGGCCGGGGATGATGACGGCTCCTGGGCTGCACTGCTCCACGCCGGCACACACCACGTTGCCCAGGTTGGCCACGCCGGGGGCACACTGCACCCCCTCGGCACCGGTGATCACCTCCCGGCCCACGCAGCTCACCGCGCTCCTGGCCCCGAAGCCGCCCCCCACCCGAGGGAGACAGTCCACGCTGCGGGTGCTAAAGCCGGCGTTGCTGACTCCGAAGGAGGAGACCACCCCCAAGCCCGCGCCGGCTCCTCCCGTCTTGACGGCGCATTTGCCTCCGATTCCAGATAGGGATCGGCACTCCCCGACCGTGCCCCCGCCACTGACCACGGCTGCGAGAGAAAAACAGGTCCCGTGTCACTCCCGGAGCAGCTCAAGCCCGGCTCATAAGGAAACTTACAAGCTTAAAAGGGAAGGAAGGGGATGATTCGATGGCTTACCTACGCTCACCGGGTTGCCAGTGCATATCCTGTTGGAAAAGAAATGTCTCAAAGATGTGCTTAGGGAAATGCTCCCCAAACAAATGAGCAAATGGAGATGCCACCCAGTTATTGCCTCCTTAGAAACCCTGCAAGTTTTTCAGCTTTTCTGTGCACCCAGGTGTCCCTATTGCTCGCTGAACAACTGCGGGGTTGGACCCCTAAATCCCACGGATGTCTGAATATCCCATCCCTATCCATTTGTCCTGCAAAAGGGGGATCTGAATGGCACGCCTGGTGTGCTGCGATCCAGCTGCCTTGGTAGGATGAGGAGGGAGCAGAAGCAACGCTCCTCCCTGCACTCATGGGGAGAGAAAAGGGACATTGTTCTGCTCTGCACCCATGGGGAGCCGCAGCCACCCAGCATTTCTCATGCCTCCCCTGCTGGGTTTCGCCAGGCATCTCTGCAAGCTGCAGCTGAGGAGGCGCCTACCTGCTCTCTTCTCCTTCCAGCAGCGTCCTGTAAGTGGCAATCTCAATGTCCAGGGCCAGCTTGACGTTCAGCAGCTCCTGGTAGTCCCTCAGCAAGCATGCCATCTTGTCCTTGGCCTGCTGCAGAGCAGTCTGCAGGTCGATCAGCTTCTGCCGGGCATCCTTGAGGGCGCAGTCGCCCCTCTGCTCGGCAGTCGCAGATGGCTGTCTGCAGCGCTGCGATCTGCAAACGGTGACAGATGAGAGGGTGCTTGGCTGTGACATGGAGAGCATCTCTGCAGGGCTGCACATTGATCCCCTTTGTTTCTCAGTTAGGAACTGCCAGAGCCTAGATTTTGGCTGGACCCCTGCTATGGCCAAGCTCTTTGGGATAACAGGTAAGGGATGTGTTGGCTGCACCCCATAGGGAGCATGCAGCCAACATCATTTCTGCCCTAGCCAAGACAAGTGGCTTCTGCTGGGTGGAAATAAATACTCCTCCTTGCCTATCTTCAGCCTCGAAATGAGAAGCTACGAATGCAAACTCAGGCGGGGGCAGGGGGTTCTGTGCAGCCTTGCAGGCTAGCAGCTGGTGAGGACGAAGCCCTTTGATGCACACCCATGCACTCAGCCCTTTGTCCTACCTGTTTCTTCACGTTATCCGACTCGCACTGCAGCTTCTGGATCATCCTGTTCAGCTCGGCTATCTCGCTCTGGTTGTTTCTCAGGTCATCACAGAACTTGCCACGGCTGCTGTGGAGCTCCTCCAGCTGTGGTGCAGGAAGAAGGTGACATTAAGCGCCTGAATCGCCCCTTCCAGGGAAGGTGGGGATGCTCCGGAGCTGCACCAACGCTGGTGCTCCTGGTAAGCACCCAGATGTGACCTCAGCCTGGACAAGGCAACAGCCCCGTGTGAGCCCTGAGCACTTGCCCTTTGGGAAGGGGATGGTGTGCCTGGCGGGTGTGCACAGAGGAGACCTCTCTGAAGCAGCATCATGATCTGCTAGGTTCTGTTTTGATGGAGAATTTATAAAACACATTTTTAGGTGTTTTTTTTTGTTGTTGTTTCTTTTGGCATGATTCTCTTGAGCAAACTACAGTGCATGCACACCATGGGGCAGGTTTAAGTTGGTTCATGGAGGACAGAAATGGTCCTCGGGGTTCTGTTGGCCAGGGGATTTCATTGCCATCTGTGCCAGTGCTGTGGATACTCACTCTGGTTTGGTAGAAAGCCTCCACTTCAGCCTTGCTCTTCTGGGCAATCTCCTCATAGCAGCACTCAACGCTTTTGATGATGCCCTCCATGTCCAGGTCACGGCTGTTGTCCATTTGCACGATGACCGAGGTGTCACAGAGCTGACAATCCAGCTGAGCTCTCTCCTGCAAGATCCATCACAGGTCAGTGACCCAGCAAAGGGGGGGGGTGGGTCTGGAGAGAAAATGTATGGCTGGGGAAGGTTGTCCCATGAATGCCCAGCATGGGGTCCTCCAGATGGCTGGCTGGTTTCCAGCAAGAGCTGGCAGCTGGGACCTGTTGTTGGCACAATATGGGATTGCTGCAGGTAATTCCCCAAGGAGGGTGGGGAGTCCTGGTGGAGCAACTCGCTTGGATGCAGCCCGGTGTTGCCAGGCTGCGTCAGCAGTTCTGTGGGCTGAGCATCCCTCGGGGTGAGTGCTTTGGGCACTGCAGACTCCCGGGAAGTGTTTGGTTAGAAAAGGTGGAAAGCAAACACGGTGTCCCCTGTGTGTTCTGTTAGGAACTTGCTATGTTTTAGACAAAAGCCAATGTATTATGACTTAAGAAGCTAAAAAAGTGAAATGCTAAAAATATCTGTGTTTTCAAGAGTGAGATGTTTCCATGGCTCCAGGCATGGTTTGGGTGAGAATTATAGGGGCTTTTTTCATGCAAAAGGTCCCTCCCTTTGCAGTCAGGAGACCACCAAATCCACCCTGTGCCTGCCCAAAGCGTGTGTAACAGCATTGCTACCAAACACATAAAGAGATACAGATTTTTTTGGATGCACCTGTAGGATTTTCAGAAAAGACACCTTTCCCTGTGTTGTCTGCTGCAGCAAATGAGTGCGCTCTTACCTCAGCATAGATGCACTTCAGGAACTCCAGCTGCTGCCGCAGGAGACCCACTCTCACCTCCAGCTCCTCCTTGGTCAGGTAGAGACAGTCCACATCCTGGAGAGACACCGTGGATTTGGTGAAAAGAGGTGAAGAAAAAACCGCTGTGGCAAAGCCCCTTTTCTCTGTTAGATTTGGAAAAGCCTCCCCATGGCCAGCCCCTAAGGCTGCCTGGCTTTGCTTTATGTGTGCTTACAACCTGGCAGGGTTCTCCAGGTGACCCAGGTGGGTCGCCTCAATTTTGGGGCTGCGCAGTGAGGGTTCAGGCAGTGCCATGGTGCCATGGCTTTCCATTTCACTCCCTGGCCCCACGCCCAGGTTTTGCATACACACCAGCCACCCTCAGCTGAGCTCACTGGTGCTGTCTGTAGCACAGCTCACCTTCTTCAGCACCACAAACTCGTTCTCCGCAGCCGTGCGCTTGTTGATCTCATCTTCATATCTGCAGGAGGAAAGGAGAGGGGTGGGCTGCTGAGTCCCGGTGGTCCCATCCCCACCACCCAAGCAGCCAGCACAGAAAGCGTGACTGAAACCAGGGCCTCTCCCTGTTTGCTTTGTACCTCCTATTAGAGTTTTGCTTTCTTGTTATTTTTTTTTCCTCTGTGCTGAGCTTTGTTCAGCAGTTTTAAATAGCCCACGCCAGCAGTATCGGTAGCTGCTGTGAGATGGCAGTAAATCAGGCCAAACCACTAGAAATGCCAAACCGTGTACCAAGCTGAAGGCTTGCTTTGCTGCTTCTAGCCCTGCTGCTGCGTGTGAGGTTTTTTGGAAGCATCCAGGACTCTGCTCTCAGCTTTATGGGGAGACTGTGGCCAAAGTGCCCCAAGGGAGGTCAGGAGCTTGAGCAACCTGTGAAACTCCTAGGTGCCATGAAAAGGAAAGCTGGTGTGTAATGACCAAGTAATTGGGACCTGGAAGAGCTTTCACAAGATGAGTCTGACCTCCTTGGTGGTGGCTCAGTGAGAGAAAACATCTGAGAGGCTTGTCTGTAAGGTCTTTGGAGAAGACTACTCTTATATGCGTGTTGTACATCACCAGCCACCGTTCACAGCTTAGTGCAGCACACAGGGAACTATTAAGGAATATCTGCATCTTAGATTAAAAAAAACAATTCCCACATTTCCTCTGGGAAGAGGGAACGAACCCCAGTGGAGACTATGTGGATAAAGTGTGGGGTGAAAACAAATGGGCTGAGGGATCTGTGGGAATGGATGGCAGCTGGGGGCAGGAGATTTGAGGGAGCCACAGATGACGTGGGAGATTTGATACAGCAAAACCACAGGGGAGTGCAGGAGTGCTAGGGAGAGGAAAAGAGGTTCCCTGTCTCTCACCCTCAGGAAATACTGCAGGGGGGGCTCTCCCAGTGCATCACCTGCACCTGAGATGCAGCAGTGGGACCCCAGCACAGAATCCAGCCCAGTGCTGGTGTGCCCTGCCCTGCTCCCTCCCTGTGCTCCAGTTTTTGAGCTGTCTGCTGCTGCTGCATTGGCTTCACGCTCCAAAAGTCTGCTCCAGGCCAGCCAACACCCCAACCCCCATGTTCTCTCTGCATGCTACTTACTTGCACTTGTACTCTTGCACCAGGTCCCTCAGGCACCGCTCCTCATTTTCCAGCCTCTCCCGCTCCCCCAGCACACACTCCAGCTGCTTCCTCAGGTTGCAGATGAAATTCTCAAAAACAGGCTCCAGGTTTCTCCTGGAGGCCGGCAGGACGTACTGCTGCAGCAGCTCCCACTTGGTGGTCAGCACTTTGTTCTGCTGCTCCAGCAGCCGGACCTGGGGAAGGAAGAGATGCAAGAGTCATCCACGCCTCTCATCCTGGGCAAAGGCACTTCAGGTCCCTCCACTTCCAGGAGGAAAAAATAAAAATAAAATTAGAAATGCCAAAGGTTAAGTGCTGATTTCTCAGCAGCCTAAGTGAGAAGAGCATCTTCTCCCAACTAAGCCTGGTGCCACCCAGGACTCCCGAGGCTGAACGACATCCATGCATTTGCTCTGTGTTGAGCCTGATCATCTCTTTGACCAAAGCAAGCTTCAGCCAAACTCTGCCTCCTCCCTGTGACAACCGGCTGGAGGAGGATCATCTGCCTCCTCTGATGGGCTGATTAGAGTAATGAGTCTTTCCTGGTGCTAAAAGAGCCATCCAGGAGCTCATTTGAATGTATCTGATTTAAGCTCTAACCACGGATACTTATCATGCCTTTCACTTCTAGATTAAAGAGCTCTCTAGTACTTGGGAACCTTTATGTATCATGAATAAGTCATTTTCAATGGGAGGAAGTAGGGTGGCTCCTCTTACATGGGCTTGGTTGTTTCAGCTGCAGAACAGCTCACAAAGAAAATCAAGATCAGATGGAGCAAAGGTTCCTCTGCTCTTTGAAAAATCATTTTCTATAATGAATCTCTAAACAGCAATGAAAAACCCTTAGGCTTTGCTAAGGTAACAACAAGAAATTACATTTGTTTAGGAAATTGCAAAACTCTTTTGCCCTCAGAGTAGAGGGACAGAAAAAATAAAGTTGTTCATCTCATTTTAGCCAGACATCTATCTTTCTACTTCTGCAAGATGAAGTGAACTGTAAAAAAATACAAGTCCCCTGGAGTTTATAGAAGTAGGGTAGGAACTGAAGACAACACATGTCCTAGAAGCACAGCATCATCTAGCTGGGAACGACCTTCTAGACCGTTTCAGCGTCTCCGTCCCTTCTCTCCCAGGCTTTGGCTTACTGCTGGAGCTGCTCCTGTTCTAGCTATTTAGCCGGCTGGTGACCATCAGGAGGTCAGATACTGTTGCGGTTGCCTTGGAACAAGGCTTACATCCAAGCAGTCTCCGTGTTGGGAGCGTGGTCTACCAGAGCCATTACAAGACATGGGGGCGCCGGGCGAAGCAGCCACTGGCTTGTCCCTAGAGACAGCCCGGAGAGCGGGGGCTCACCTTGTCGATGAAGCAGGCGAACTGGTTGTTGAGGTTCTTGATCTGCTCCTTCTCATGGGTCCGCACTTGGCACTCCTCGGGGTCGACCCCCACGCAGAGGGGCTTGAGGAGCTCCGGGTGGATGCTGACGCCCCGAATCCCCTCCGAGCGGCCTCCGCCGAGGCCGATGCCGATGCCGCCGCCGTAGCCTCCCATCGCCACGCCGTCCCCAAGGCCTCTGAAGCTGCCCAGGCCCCCGTAGCCTCCGCAGTTACCAAACCCCACGACCGTGCCCACGCCAAAGCGGCCTCCGCCGTAAGCCACGCCGCAACGTCCCACGCCGGCACCGCCATAGACCCCACTGCGGCAGCTGCCGCCGAAGGAAATCCTTTGCCCTCTCCCCAGGTCGCAGACGCTCCGGCTGCTGAAGCCGCCGATCCCGCAGCGCCGTCCCGCCGGCTGGCAGACGGAGGCCGAGCTGCTGTTGGCCCTGCCGAGGCCGCAGACGGCAGAGGCGGAGGAGAAGCCCCGTCTGCCCAGGAGGGAGCTGGAGGTGTAGCACTGCCGACTCATGGCGGCCGGGGAGCGGACACAGCGACGCAGCGGAGCGAGAGAGGAGCGGAGGGTGCAGGAAGGAGCTCTCCTTTGGCTTCTCTGAGGCACGGCCCGTCTCCTTATATACATTTCAGGAGGTGCCTGAGATGCAAAAATTTAATTTATCCACTGGGTTTGGTCTGCCTGGCAGCAAGGAATGGCTTCCAACATTTTAAACCCACAGCAAACACTTCTATCTCATATGAAATAATGTGGAAATTAAAATAAACTGCTTTGCTTGCAAGCTTCAGTTTCAGGACTTATATTTTACTTAATTAATCTGCTTCCTTATTGTGTAATTATAGTTTAGCAAAATAATTCAAGGAGTTTTTATTCATGGCTTGTTTACGGTTCGGTTTCACCACAGCGTTTAATTATGTTTCGGGACCTCCTGCAAAATGTCGCGGCGATGCCGCCTCTTCCAGGGTCTCTCGCCAGCTCAGGGCAGGCTCTTGAGCAACGGCGGGGAGCAGGAAGGCGGATCTGTCCCAGCGCGGCACTGACGCCGTTGGGAGCGTTCGTGTAAGCGTTCGTTTCTTCCTCCCATGGGTATGGCTGCGGCTCTCGCAGGCGGCTCGGTTGAAGCCCTGTGTGCTGGCAACCAAATAGGAGGAGCGGGGCCGGTGGTGGCTGCACCGGTGGAGCATGTGTGGGATGGTGCCGAGGCCAAATTTGGGGGGGGTGCTGCGGGGAATGGGGTTCATGAAGTCGGGGCGCTGGGCTGGCTGGTCTGGGCTGTGCCCCTTAGAATACATGGAACAGAAATATGTCGTTTCTGGGAAGTGCTTCGCTGCAGATGCAGAGTGTTTATTGCCGAATTATATGCGTAGGGAAGGGGATAATCGTGTTTAGTATCTGGGTGTGATGTGAGTGGCGCGCGCGGCGAATTCACGCAAGTGATAGCTGGAGATGTAACAAAGAAGTGAAGCGAAGTGTTACAAACAGGGTGAGAAATGTTAGCCAGAGTGAACTTTTTTCCTCTTATTCCTGTGACGCACCTATTCAACGTTAAATTATTCTAGTAATATCTGTTAATGAGAAGGCACCATACCTTCTTAATTAAAATTCTTTAAAAGATTTTTGAATTTGCTTGGAAACAAATAAAGTGCATTTTTTGCCTTAACAAAGGGGTCTAATCACAGAATCACAAGTGGTTGCATAGCTTGCCTTCAGAAGGTTCTGCGTCTTTGCTAGGACAAAGTTATCTGGTTCTGGAAGGATTCCTAGGCAATGATATCGGAAACTTGAAACGGATTTTCTTGAATGAAAAATAACACAAAGGAAGTATGCTGATTTTATAATATTTGTGGGGTCTCCCCGGTAAAGATCTTCTTATTTATTTTCAGATCTCATGTTGGGGGGGGGGGGAGGGAGGGGTTTGAAATGAACTATAAAATACCATACGCACTTTTAATTGTGTACTAGTTCTGTTGTTGCTGCATTGGTCTGAGTGTACTACTGATTCAAGTCTTGCAATGAGATGTAATTTCATTCATGAGATTGAATGAGTTGGAGAAAGCAGATGAGCTTTTTGGGCACTGCAGTCTTCATGTCATTCAGCCCAAGGTAATCCAAGGACCTGAGCCTCTTGCTAGTAAGTGAAAGGTGGAATTATTTCAGGAATGTATTTTGTGCTGAAGTTTTGGTGCAAGCGTTGTGGAGGACAACTGGGTGCGTGGTCTGAAGCCAAGCCTGGAGCACTGCCTGGAATCAGGGCACTCGCAGCTGGGCTAAAGCATCACATGGCCGTAGGTAGGACTATGCAAAGTGACCTTAGGTGGGCATAACCATGGGCAAGCTGCAAAATAGGCAGAAGCCAGGCCATAGAGCCCCTGGCACAAGGAGTTTGCTTCTTGCATGCCCTGAATGCTGGCTGGGTGCTGCTGTGGCAGGGCAGAGGTGGGGCATTGGGGTGCTGCTGGGGGTACCGGGGTGCTGCCACTGCTTGGAGCTCTCCATCCAGCAGGAGCGCAGAGGGAGGCTCCGGCTTCTTTGCATGGCAAGAAAGACGGGGCCCTTAATCCCGGAGGGCAGCGACTTGCTGGTTTTTCCAGCTGTGAGAAACCTGGATCTGGTTTGGATCATCCACATGGCGTTGTGCCGCATGGTGATGTGCGCGCTGTTTGAAGGCTGTGGACCCTTCATGCTCCCGGTCTTGTTGGAAAGCAGGGAAAATGCCGCTCGTGGGACAACCGTCCACCTTCCTCCCCCAGCTGCCAGCCCTGAGATCCTTCCCTGCACGCGAAGAGCTGCCAGGCTGCTTCCCCACGGATGGAAAGCACCAAACCTGCGCTCCAACCCTCGGCTCCTCCTCGCACCCTAAGAAGTGGCTGCTTCCAGGTGCCCAGCCTTGCACATCAGAGAGAGACGGTTCAGGGCAGCGCTTGTGGTTTGCAGCTGCTGAGCTTTCACAAAGCTGCTGCGCAGTCACATGGTGGAAGCCCTGAGCACCGGTTACATAAACTTCAAAGGAGGAAGCGCTCTGATGTGATTTGGTCTTCTGAAGAGCAGGATTGCAATCGCCTTCATTCCATCGGCCACACACACGCACAGGCACTAGCTGAAATCGGATGTAAATGCTGTCTTCGCAAAGACTTTTTTTTTTTTCTCTCGTCTGCATGCTTTGTCCTGGCTGAGTGCAGGTCTGGTGACATTGGAGGGGCTGCAGGGAGGGACTAACCCACCTAAAAAAAAAAAGATGCATGTAAAGATGCAAGGCAGAGATGAAACCACAGTTTTCAGGCTGATGGGATTCAGCAAGGCTTTAAAGCAGCAGCTTACACCTAAATTTACACAGGGGAAACCCCTGAGGTCCTCGGCCCTAAACATGCCTTGAACTGTGGTGGCTTCCATAAGACTGAAGGCTTTGAGATTTACATGTACCCAGCATTAGGATAAATTAGTTCTGTTTAAGTGCCTTGCTAAATTGGGATCTGTTAAGCCATCTGTGTGGGTAAGGAGAGCCTAAGGGGCTTTCCAACCTGGTGTGATTCCAGCTGTAACGACCCAGCCATCCAAGCTTGCTCTACCCCAGTGAGAAAACAAATTTTTTAAGACCCTTTCCTGATAAAATGGGGCTGGCAGGGCTGGACCGTGCTCTCAGTGTTTTCAACTGGTGCCCTCCCTCCCTGCCTTCAAGCTGGGCAGTTTTTGTGGCTCCCTGCGAAAGGGACATTGAAGTCACCATTAAGATGGCTAATGAGGCCCCTGGGACATCTCCCTCTGGTTTCATGGGTCCAGCCCTCCGAAGATGGCTGCTCCCATTCGCTTAACTGCAGCTTGATTCTTCTCCCACATCAAAGCAGGCAGTGGATTTGTGGGGACCCGGGTAGAGGCCATGGTCTGAGCATCTTCCATCGCCACCGGCCATCGGAGCAATCCTCCTGACCTTGCTCCGAAACAGCTATTTGCCCTCAGCCTGGCTTTTCCCTGGCCATTGCATAGCATTTTTGCTGCAAAAAGATGGACAAGGTAATTGCTGAGATACTTTGCAGGCCAATGGTGGTCACTGTCCACGTGCACCATCTTTATTTGCCAGGCTGCCAAATAGAACCTTGCCAAAACTTTTACCTTCCCTCTGCAGCCTTTCTGCTGGAAAGAGGACGTGAGCAGTGATAAACGCCCAGTGTCAGTGGTGTTGCTCGGAAGATGCTGGGGTCTTGTGGCAGCAAGCAAAGCAAAAGAGAGCATTGCTCCCAAGGGTGATGTCTGACCCCATGGAGAGCAACCTTTTGGGCAGAGCAGGTGGTTCATTCGGGGCAACTTCGGCATGGGCTGGGCAAGTTTTTGTTCATGTGGTGGGATACCTGGGCACAGGAGGCAGTTCTCGGACACAGCTTGTGTGACTTCTGGGTGTTTGCTGGAAATGTTGCAGCAGTGACTCAACAGCCAGCCAGCAGCAGCACACGGCAGCCTGTTTGGATTTTGAAAATCTCCATTTTGATGGTGCTACCGGGTGACCTAAGCTGAGAAACTCTCCTTCATAGTTCTTATTTACCATCTAATTTTGTAAGAGACAAATAGGTTTTGTACCAAACACCACGGGTGTCCACCCTCTTCCTTTGTAACTTTCCTTGTTTGCATAGGAATTTGTGAGGCCCTTTTGCATCATCCGACCAACCTTGTGCTAACACTCGGGGCTCGGTGGATCATTAGGGCTCTGAGTAATGGGGTGGAATTGGTATGGCAGGGTCATGATGAAAGCGCAACAGCCAGGAGTAGCACTGGGAATTGCCCCTGCAGAGGGAGAGCAACCGCATGCCAAGGGCAGGGCGTGAGTTTGGCACCAAAAGTGTTCTTCTGGGGAAAGGTGGGCCTTCCTGGTGAAAACCAGCTGTGCTGGGGTTGGAAATGCTGCCCTGCTGTGTCATGGGACAGTTGCCTCTTCTACGATACCAACTTTTCTAACCAGAAAGCATGTTCCTTCATGCACGGAGCCAACCGGGGACTCCAGAGATGCCCTCCAGCAGCTGAGTGAAAGGGGAGGGTGTGGGAGGAGGGAAATCCAGCCACGGAATTTCAACTAGTTCCCATCGATAGCTCTGTAAATCTGTGTGCGCACCATAAAGACCATAGAAGGTAGCTGTTCAGTGTGTGTGGTTAATGTAATAGAATTAATTTTGCAAATTTACAGGCAGGTTTCTTCAGAAAAATGAAGTACAGTGGATACAGAAACATTGCGTGCAGCTTACTGGCAGCACAGCAGAAAACACGAGGCTTTTATCAGCAGCACAATCTCCGTGTGCCGTGTCGGATCAGGAGGCATCACTCTACAGAGAGGGACATGGAGCATGTTCAGCAGAGAGCAACCCCCTCGGCGGCCTGGTAAGAACAATGTGGCTGGTGAGATAATGTGGAAGAAGCAACACACTCCTGGTGTGGGAGACCTCTTACCTGAACTCACAAGTCACCGAGCTGGAGCTAGAGGCATGGACCCCATGAATAGTCAATGAGAGAGCTTGGTATCATCAAGCAAAAGATTGTTTTCTAAAGTCACCAGTGCAAAAACTTGGAGTCACCCTTTGCAGGGCCACGGGGGCATGATCCGGGAGCAGAGGTGGTGTTCCTGTGTCGGCTGCCAGCCTCAGCAGAATAAAAGGAGAAATATGAACCAGGAGGAACAACAATGCTGTGTTTACAAGCACCCAGCTATTCATAAAGCCTTCCAGATGGACACTCAGATTAAGGAGATTACAGAAGGTATAGTTTCTAGAAGATGTACCTATTATCTTAATGAATGGTTGGAGTCACTTTTGTGATTCATTTTGCCACCAGCACGCAAAAAACTCACAATGTGTCATTCCAGAGGTGGTGGCTGGGTGCATAAGCTCTGTATTATGGTTGTCTCTCCTGGGCTAAACATGATAAAGAGAAGTATTTGTCCTAGAGGAATCTGCAACCAGCTTCTATTCATCGCAGCCCTAATGCTCAGCATTACCTGCTCCAGGGGTACCTGAACCTGCAGCGCTCTGCCCCGCAGAGCAGCCAGCTGCAGCATCGGGCACCACAGCCTTCATTTCCCTACTGAGCCTACGGGCTCGTAACCTCCATTTCCAGAGATGAGTGCTCTGAATTGCTAGCAAACCACACATCCGGGGAGATAAAGACAAGCAACGGTAGTGATTATCTCTCCGGACTGGCGATCCCTCCTGCCAAAGCTGAGCTCTCGCAGTTACGTCCTCGGTGAGCCAGGTCACTCTGCCTTTGGAGAGGCAAAACCATGCTTCGATTCGATCTGTTTCTGGGATGGGTTCCTAAACGTCTTCACCAAAATCTCCCACTGTAGGAAGCAGTTTCTTTCTCGTGCCCATATTGAGTTGGAAATCCAGCTGGGCATCTGTCACCGACTACTGCCCTGCACTTGGGAACCTGCGCTGCAAGAAAACCCTGCACTCAATAACTGGAAAAGAAAGCTGAAAAAGGCAGAGAAAAATGGAAAAGAGCAAGTCTTGCTGTGAATCACGTTTTATTTGGCTGTACTGAAAGGACACCCTGGCCATCCTCTGTTGGAGGATAAAAGAAATCACATCATTAAGGCTTTCAGAAGCTGCACGGAGTGGGACCTGAGAAGTTCAGGTCACATTTCACAGCCAGGCTGACTCTGTGCCCCACGATCCTGCGTGAATCAGGCACCCAGGCTCCTCCTGAGCTCAGTGGGGTTTCATGCACTGAGAAGATTCATTTGGGGAACTCCAGTGTAATTTCTTGAAGCCACGTCCACGCATTGGTGTGTTGCCTTGTTATCCTCTTTGTTCTTGTTATTATGTGGTTGCTTTTTCTCGTTGAATATCCTATGGGGTAATCCACCTGCTGGGCGCAGTGTGTGATACCAGGGAGTGTTTAGCACCTGTCTCTCTTGTTCTCCGTCCAGAAATGGCTTGCATGTAGAAATCTCAATGACCAGAAGCCAGCTTGGTGCTCAAGACATCCCAGTAATTGCACACCTGGCCTCCCAGCTCCTCCTTGGCTTCCTGCAGAGAGCAGTTGGTGTTTCTCCCCTGGGCAGTTTTGCAAACACTGTCACCATGCTGCTCAGCATGGCAAATACCTGTCTGCAGACAGGCCACCTGGCAGAGGATGGACGGGTGGCTCAACTTTCCCTCTAATTACTGAGTGTGACAACTGCGGCTTCCTTGTCCTCGTTTCAATTATGGATTGACAAACACCAGAGGCGGACTGTCCCCAAAACGTCATCCCCTGTCCCAGTGGCTTTCTTTCAAGTTATTCCAAGAGTATATGATAAAGAGAAGCAGTTGCTTATGAGATGGCTACTGGGTTTGGCATAATTGCCTGTTGCTCTGCTGTGCTTCAGCACCTCCTTCCCACCCTCACCCTTCATCACTGCCACCATCCGAGCGCTACAGGGCACCGCATGGGCTCGTCTCCAGCACTGGAGGAATCGGGTGCCAAGTGGTCAGGCCCTGTTCGTCAGGTACGCTGAGTCCCCTTGCCTTCACCCCAGAACTGAAAAAGCACCCCCTGAATGCAAAATATTTCCATGCTTTACCCTTCTATCTATCTGCTGTCTTTGCATTTTCAACCTGTCACTGCCCAGGAATAATAGCAGAGCTAATTTGCCTTCTGCTGTGCAAAATAACTCATTTCAAGAAATCTGTCAGTGGTTTTTTCTTAAGGACCTATCCAAGGTCAACGTCTGGGCTCCTCCAGCACTGTCAGTCATACTTGTGTGCTGGTATTCGGTAGCTGGTGTGTCCTTCGTGCATGGTGCAAAGCCTTGTGTCCACTCTGCTCTGAGCCCTACTCAGTGTTGCAGTTTCTGATGGAGCCCATCTCCCATCACTTGTCCATTTCCACGGTGATGGAGGCATTGCGAAGCTTGTGCCCAAAGGTTGCAAAAAGTTGCAGTCCGGAGTGATTCCCCCTCATTTGCATCACTTTTGGGGAAATGCAGAACTAATTGTATAATGTGAGTCCTCTTCCTGCAGCTAAAGTCCGACCTGGAGTGACTCACTGCTGAGGAACAGACCGAGCTGCCTTTAATCCAGAAAAAGGATAAAAACCAACCTGCTGAGCTGGAGCACAGCCAGCAAGCGCTGGGTGGAGACGGAGGATTCCCCACCGCAGCGCGTGGGCAGCGCCTCGACCCACCCGAGCCCTGGAGAACGTCTGTGGGATTTCGGTTCCCACATGCAACACAAGCCCTGTGAGTGCCTAGTTTGGATATGTAGCTGTTCCAGCTCCGAAACCCAATTCTATCTATGCCAAACCGAGCCATGCTAAAGATGAGGATGTTTCCAGGATGGATGAAACCTTCATTTCCCTGCGCTTCCTTTAATTGGGCTCGCAGGCGGAGGTGCCTGAGGTTAGGAGCTTCCTCCGGCCACCTCATTGACACCAAAAAAGTGGAGGAGGGAAGCTCAGCCTCTTGTTGGCCTGTGTTTGGAGAGGAGCAGACCTTCTGAAGACACTGCAGTAATTCTTAAGCATTATCTGGCCTCCTAATAAGAAAAATTAATAATGAGAGCAACACTGGCATGCTGATAGCAAGGAGATATTATTGTGCTGCTCTGGCCTGAATACACTTCAGGAAGAAAAAGAAACAGCCTCGTACTCATCTGCGTCTCCTCCTTCCTCACACTGCGCCACCACAAACAGTCCCTGCCTCTGAGAATTTCCTCATCTGCCGTTTGTGTCTCATGGGTGGTAGAAGAGAAATCCTGACCAAAGGCAGCAAAACACGTTTGGGGACAGGTGAGTCAAAGCACACCCAGGAGTTTGGTTCAGCCACCAAGCAGAAAGGGCCACCATTCACATTGCTCTGGTGCTGTTGAGCTGAAGTACAAGAAAACGAACAGTTTTCCATCAACAGCAGCTTAAAAGGAAAGCAGTTTGATTAAGTGGAGGCAGGAAAAAGCCCAGCAGCTGGCACCCGCAGAGCTGGGGGATCCTCCAGCCCCAGGCTGAGCGTGGGCCAGGACATCTCGCTGCCACCCTGAGCCATCCCTTTCCAAGCGACATCTCCAACTTCCAGCTTCCCCTCCCTCCTGTTAGTAACACTGACCACATCACAAGAAACAACTTGCTTTTGAATGTAGTGTGGATTGTGGAGCCGTCTGGCTGCGAGGAATGAGTGTTCACAGGAGGGACTAATTACTGGCTAATTTCTTACCTGTATTTATCCACAATCTGCTTTGTGGCAGGCTCTTCGGGTATCGTTTGTTCCCACCTGCTGTGCAAAGTGTCTATCCGCTTCCTGGGGCTGAAAACACGGCCTCGGATTTCCCGTGTGTGCAGCCACGAGGCACCCCATGGCTGCCAGCCCCGTGTGCTAGCAATAATAATAACGTAGTAATAATTATAGGCAGTGGCGTGTTCATTAAAGAGGAGAAAGCAACGTATCAGGAAGACAGCTAGGCCGTCCCATTTGGTGCAGAAAAGGGAAAGGAAACCTCTTGTGTGAAAATTGGGTATCTGAAGAAAAAAAAAAAAAAAAAAAAAAAAGAAAGAAATGCAAATGATCCCTGATAATGATTAAAAATGAGTAATGGTTAAAAAATGCAATAAATCTGCGTCTGCTTTGTCAGACCACAAAAACGCAACTTCTATCCCCCAAGGAAATTCTGAGCTGTGTAAACATTGTTTTTTTTCACACCTGGGATAAAAAGGTGAAATTACACAAGTCAACTTTTTTTTTTTTTTTTTTTTTTTTTTTTTTTTTTAAGTGAGATGTTTCTAACCATTTCTTTCTGATGTGGCTGGGGACTTCCCAGTTTGGCTGTGTAAGGTATTCACAACAGAATAAAGCAAAATTCCTGCTCCCACCTTAGCATAGCAGGCAGATTGGCTGCTGAGGTTTCTTTAGCTGCATGTTTCATGGTCCTCTTGTTCGGCCCTGAAGCTTCCCTGATATCAGGAACTTTCATCTACAGTGGTGCATTGGCAGTTTTCATGGGATCTCCAGGATCACCCTCACCATGACTCACGCTGCAGGCTTCTTCACTGCTATAAAATCCAAATTTGCTGCACTCACCAGGGTCCCTACAACCTCTGGGATCTTTAAAGCCAGTCCTGTGAAGCTCTCACACCTTCTGCAGCCTATTTGTTGTCCACCACCGAGATCTCCTTAGACTTGAACAGAGATCAAAGGCAAGTTCTGATTTCAGAAAAGCTATTGAATTATTTATTTTATTTTATTTTATTTTATTTTATTTTATTTTATTTTATTTTATTTTATTGTATACTTATTGCTGTTGCTACTGATGCTCTGATGCTGCATGTGTTTGAAGTCCCTTTATCTCACCAGCAGCAGAAAAGGCAGAAACAAAGACCCAAAGTGCTGGACCTCCGGGGCTGCATCTTCAGCTTGTTCCAGGTAAGGAGAGAAGAAAATGGCATTTTGCTTGTGGGCAAAGGGCAGAGCAGGAAGGGAAAGAGCCCAGCTGGTGGCATGCTTTGAAAACAGCCCTTACATTGGGCACAGTTGGATGAGATAAATGGCTTTGAACCTGCTTGGTTTGGTTTGGCTAGAGGTAAGCGATGTTTGGTTATGACATGAAAAAACATTACAGTTGCTATCACATGCACATGGAGAATAGTGAGCAAGTGAAAATGCTTGACTGACAAGCTTGGTCTGAAGGACTTCCTTGTGTAACGCCTGGCACTCAGTTTGCCTGCTCAAATATTTGCTGCAAAGTGTGTTTTTTGGGTTGTCTGCTGTGGTTGTGCCACCTCGTCCGCTTGGTGCTGCAGGGCTCTGCAGACTGACACGAGCACCATGGGGATGACTTTCTCCCTTGGTCTGTTCCTGTAACAGACCCACCTCTTCCTCCTCTTCCCACGTTCTTATCTGGGTGTATTTATCGCAAAGCTGCCCTGGGAGGCATGAGTCACCCTTCCGGGGCTGTAAATGAGGTTCAGGGTGAGCGGGTCAGTGGGGTAGGGCTGTCCTTTTTGAAGATTAATTTATGTCAGAAGAGGTCCACCCTAACCAGGTTAGTAGAAATGGAAAATGCTGGTTATAAAGTAGGATGAGACATTTGAAGGATTTTGCATGATGCAAGAATGGAGTCAACCCTGTCTTTAAATTGCTGTAGGCCAAGGCCATAACCATTTTTTGGAGGGGGCACAACACCCTCCACGCTGCCTGTCTGTTCCCGTGGGTGATGGAGGGGACCTGGACCATGCTCTTAGCCCAGAGGCTTTGCTTCTTCCCACTTTCTTCTTCATCCCCTTGACTGTAGTAGGCTTTGGGTTAGAGTGCTTGTACTGGTCAGGCAAAACACAAAAACCAAAACATTTCACACAATGAAATTTCTGGAATGGTATTTTTAAGTTACTAATTGCTAAAAGAACTGAACAGAAGCTTTTCCCAGTTATCAACATGCTTTCTCTGGGTATTTTTACATGACAGAAAATCCAGATGCCCAGCCTGAAACAGCAGTTTGTTTTAGATAACTGCAATTAGAAAAAAGAGCAAAAATATTTCTTGGAAAAATAGTCAAAACAGTCCTTTGAAATGTTTGTAATGAAACTGTATAGCTGGCAAAAGTTCAAAAATAATAATAATAATAAAATAATAGTGTGGGTTTTGCTATTTTGCCATGATTCAAAATGGGAACGTTGTTTCGATTCATAAAACAAACAGTCACAAAAAGAGTAGGAAGGAAAAATAGTAATCACTTATCTGGAAATGTTCCCAGCTTCTCAAAGCTTGTAATACAAGGCTTAATGAATAGTTTGCAAACCATATGAGATGAACCTTTCCCCTTTGTTACTGTGACAAAATCTTTACAGCTAACCCATTCAGCCATAGCCACACAGAAAATAAAAAATAAATGTAGCCTTCATTTTCCTCTTTGGTTTTCCAAAATTATAGCTGAGAACACCTGGGTGTTGGCTCAAACACGAGGGGGAGCGGTGCTGCCCGTCTTCTGGAAGAGGCAGTATCACCTTCCTTTCTTCTCACTATTATTCAGTCCACTAAAAGGTAATTATTCTCCTGTTGCAATTAGGCAGTCGTCTACTGCTTCCTTGGTTGAGGTGGGAGAAGTCACCCTGGCTGACGTCAGGGTTTTGAACAGGTTTAGGCTCCTGTTCGCCCCTGAAGCCAGAGAGAGGTGCAGTGGGGGGCGCGCTGCCCTTTGCTCCCCGATATCCCAGGCTCTTGCCTCTTCCTTGGCCTTGCTATCAGGGGATACCAAACCTCGGCCTCATCCCTGTCGTGGCCATGAGGGGAAAGCCCCGGATAACACGGTGGCCTCCAAAAGAAGGCTGAGCAGAGTCACTCTGGCTGTGGATCACAAGTGCCCCAAGGAGGACCCTGGAGCTGCCTAGCATCTCAGCAGGGGCTCGAGGCGTTGGGCTGGCCTTCCTTCCAAATTGCATTTACAAGCACGCAGTGGTGAATACATTATGCCCAGATGCAAAACTAGCTGATGAGGTGGGCTCTGTCTCATCTAATCTTAGCCACTTCAGATAAACCACCGAACTGTGTTTCCTCGCTAGAGATTGGGGCTTGGATGGTGGGCTGTCCATCCCACCTAACCTGGGTCTGTCAAGTGGCCAAGCTTAGATGAGACATTTTCCACTTTCAGCAAGGAACTGACAGCTCATGCCCTTCCTCAAAGGCACTTATCTTTTTTCTTTGCATCAGTCTTTAATTTTTGCTTTTTTTTTTTTTTTTTTTTTTTAGGTTGCTATTAGAATTGTGCCCCATGAGAGCACAGAGATCAGTGGCGCCGTGCGACCTGTAATTCTTCATGTGCTGGAGACAGGAAGAAATTCAGTGTGATAATAGTGTCTGCAAATCCCTGGGATGACAGGCAGGGTGTATTCGTCTGAGTGTATGCAGGCGTCTTGCATGGCGATGTCTCCATTTGCGCTAATACCCCTGCCCCGGGCTGCCTGTAGAGCCAGAAGAGAGCTAATTGATGCAGTCAGGAGAGTCTAGCGCTTGATGCATTTCATGCTAAATTAGGCGTCTGTGTTTGGTCAGATGAATCACCCAATGGAAATGTTGGTTTCTTTCCATGAAATGAGCCCCCAGCAACCAGCTCGCATGAGTTCTGCGTGGGAGACTTCAGAACTGAGACAAAGTCGATCCCACCCCGTTACAGCCGAGAGCTTAGAACTCGTCCCTTTGCCTCTGAACCATATGGGGCAGCGTCACCCTTTGTCAGCCCTAGTGCCACTGGAGCAGAGGTAGTTTATATCTGGAATAGATATGGATCTGGCAGAGCACAGCCCTGATTGCAGTCCCACTGAGCCCACGTAGGACAAGGTCAGCACGGGCATCTGTCCTCGTTCCGTGCGGTGACCTGGGAGGAGCAAGCAGGAGGAGCTCATGGTGGGGAGTGAAGCTTCGGGCTGGCACCCTTGTCATGCAGGAGGCTGTGCAATGCTCAGAAGCATTTGGGGGGCATTTGGCAAGCTTTGAGATCAGCTGGTACTTAAGCAAAGAGCACCTTGAGCTATAAAATACCTAAGGGCAATGTCATTAAGGAGCTAAATAGAATAAACACCACTGGACTCCTGGCATCTGAGTCCCACCACGCCCCAAGCTCTCTGCAGAGAATCCAGAGATCAGTTTGGCCCTTTCTCTGCCCATGGACACACAGGCAGCAAAAGAGCACTTCTTTCCCCACTTTGTACTTTCATTAAACACCAGCTATGGAAAAATTCAGGGACAAAACACATACTTTCAATGCAGTTTATTGAAGGCACAGTGGAAAGCTGGGAATTTTGAGCAGTCAATGAAGGAAGCTCAGTTTACGTGAGTGAAAGATGTCAGACTCAGAAGCCTTGGAACTTCCTTGGTGTTTCAGGGGTGGGGATGGGGGTGAGCTCTTCTAAAAATCAGCACGCTTTGAACTAGCCACCCCTAACATGCAGAAGCAAATGAAAGTACTACGTGTTCATCTGTAAGCAAATTCCACAAAAAGCCTATGGCTGCAGTGTAAATAGCAGGTGCTTTGAAAGTTGCAATTGCCCTGTTTAAAATTTAAGCTCAGATTGGCAGCTCAGGGTTTATTTTTTGACAAGAAAAGGAACATGCGCTTTGCAGTGCCTCCTGGGAAAGTTAAACCATCACGCTCTTTTCTGAAATGCTTTTGGAGGTGCTGTAAGAAGAAGAGGTGTCTTGTAAGGAAGAACATCACTAATGAATCTGCTCGTTATGGGAAAGCCAGGGAGGGAAGGCAGTGGAACAAACAAAACCTAAAAGCTGCACTAACCTAGGCAGTATAAACTCAGGGAAACAACACCATGTTGAGCACCTGCTGCAGAAGCTTGCTAGATGTGACTTTAGGGTTGGGGACTCTGAAAACGTTACCTGATGGAGTGTACATGTATGTCTGATGCTAATGAGTTTGGGAATGGACTTGGTGACAATGGTGCTATTTGTGGGCAGAGAAACAATTCTGCATCATCTCAGTGATAGGAACTGAGCTCTGATGGTCCTGGCTGTGCCACCCCTGTGGATGTTCCTATGGAACAACACAGGGGTCTCTGACAACCCCAAAATTCCCCACCACACCGTTGTTGCACCCCACCACTTCGGGGCCATTTGCAACAACGACTGGGGAGCCCCCCAGCTGCCTGATGACGCAGCCTTGGTTTCCAAAGCTGACCACACCACCGGCTTGGCAAGCCCCCATCCTGGCATTCAAGCCCGGGTTTCCCGTGCTGATGACAGGTGCGGGCCGGGTACCCGCCGCTCCGGGAGCTGAATCCCCCGTTTTTGCAGCTGACTCCCCCGGCTTGGCAGTACACCTCTGGGACACACTGCTTCGCCACCGAGCTCATGACTCTCTTGGGATGGATTCCAGCGCTCCGGGAGCTGAACCCTCCGTTCTGGGAGCTGTGGCGTCCGGACCGCCTCCCCAGGGAGCCGTAGCCACACGCGGCTGCGTTCGCAGCCAGCATCCCGCAGTCTTCGGGGATATTGTAGCCGCTGCTGACCACAGCTGCAAGACAGCCCATGGGATTAATTATTTGGAGCTGGAAGACGCTCAGAGGCAAGTCATTTCATGAGGGACAGAACCAACCAAACCTGATCGCCGCTGCACTGATCCAACCAGCCTGAGCCCCTGCTCCTTCCTCCTCCTCCCCCAGGTCCCCGCACAACCCTCGCAGATCCTCCTACCTCCCACGCTGCTTTCCAGTCTGGAGGCTTGTTCTTGCCCAGACCCAACGCACACCAGCCCGTTGCCTGCTGGGCTGGCCAGGACAGCTTGCTGTCACCTCCAAGAGGAGAAAAGGGGCATGAATTTGACCTTCCCCCCCTCCATCCAAATGATGATTTTCTGGAAATTCGGAGGCATTTGAGGTTTCTGGGACAAAAGCTTTTCCCTGACAGCCTGGGCTGGACTGGAAAGGGAGACAAAGGAGGAGGGAGCCAGGATTTATGGAACACTGCTGTTCCGTAAAGTGCCCTTCCTACCGTGAGAAACCCTCAAGGCTGTAAATCTTCAGGTTACTTACACACGCTCACCGGGTTCCCCACACATATCCTGTTAGGGAAAAGAAGAGAAATGCATGTTATCCCATTAACCAGTTGCATGCACATCTAGAAACTTGATGTTACTCATAACTTCCAACCACTCATCCAGCCCACTTGTCTCCTAATCCCTTGTTGCAACACGTCTGACTATCCCTAGGACAGGAACTGTTTTTGCTGGCACAAGGGTGGCCTGTATGGCCTCCAGCCATCTCTCCAGCCCCAGTTTCTGTGAGCTGGCAGGATCCTGGAGCTGCTAACTTCACTTAGGAGCTGGAATCATCTGGCCTGTAGTTGCAATATCCAGGAGGAAAAGGACAAACCCTTGGCCACCCACCTGCTCTCTTCACCCTCCAGTAAAGTCTTATAGGTTGCAATCTCAATGTCCAGGGCCAGCTTGACATTCAGCAGCTCCTGGTAATCCCGCAGCATGCAAGCCAGCTCGTCCTTGGCCTTCTGGAGGGCGTTCTGCAGCTCAACATGCTTCTCCCGTGCATCTTTCAGGGCACAGTCCCCACGCTGCTCAACATCACAGATGGAGGTTTGCAGGCAGGAGACCTGTCAGAGGAGAGGATGACAGTGCAGGTGTGTTAGGGGCTCTGCTTCCTAATCCTTGGGTAATCTGCATCTGGATTAATCAGCTCTTCCAATTGCAAACAGGGAAAGACACCAGCTTCCCTGGAGGGGTTTCTTCTCCCAGTCCATTTTTCTACTACGTTGTACAATGCATGACTAAAACAACTCCCTTTTTAAAAGACTGCTTAGCTCCCAAATTTCTCCCTGTTTCATTTCAGCGCTGGTCACCACTGAAGGCTGGATTTGGGACTTAGCCTAAAGCTGGTCTTACGACTACTAAAGGCCGATGCATCATCTTCCCCCGTGTCTCATCGGTCCTCCAAGGCATTGCCCTTTCTGCCAACGGCACCTCCAGGCCTCACCTACCTGCTTCTTCACATTCTCCAGCTCACACTGCAACTTCTGTATCATCCGGGTTAGTTCTGAAATCTCACACTTGTTGCTCTGCAGATCGTCACAGTACTTGCCCCTTTTATCCTGAAGCTCCTGAAACTGGAAACCAAAACCAGGACAGTTGACATTTCTGACCTGCAGCCCCCTGAGCTGCTGTCAGACACCCAGGTTGCTTCGTACTCACCCTGGTTTGGTAGAAAGCATCCACTTCTTCTTTGCTCTTCTGGGCTATTTCTTGGTACCAGCACTCCACGTTCTTAATGATGCTTTCCATGTCCAGGTCTCGGTTGTTGTCCATTTTCACGATGACCGAGGTGTCACATAACTGACGATCTACCTGAGCTCGTTCCTGCACAGTGGGGAATGGCAGCTGTTAGCAATGTTAGCTGTTGGCAGTACTCAGACTTTGGAGGGAGGGAGGGAGGGCTGGAACAAAGAGCCACACTGCCCAGCTACGGGCACGAGTCAAGAAATGTCCCTCTGGCTGGCTCAGCAGAAAATCCTCCCTGCTGGATGAGCACGTCAGCTGCTGACCTACGTGCTGACCTGCAGTAATTCTGTCCACATCAAGGGCAAGGAATGCGGGTGACTTAACCCCTGGTATCCTGTCATCTTCAGCTGCTTTAGTGATGTTAATGACAGGATTAAGCTGGGAGTTTCTTGAGCTCTAATCAGCCAGCTGCAATCCGGAGTAACGAGACAGACGCATCTCTTTTCTCAGGGGTAGAGTTAGGACAGCCAATTCATACCTGGAGCTGCATTAAGAGAGGGGGAACCACCCTACCTCCAACACAATCATGCTAATATTACATTGACCTTGTAGTTCTGTGCTTTCAAGTATTCAGGGGTTGGGATGAGAGCAGTCCAAGAGGGACTGGGAGCTGTAGAAGTTGGGGGCACCCAAAGGGTGAGGCAGCACTGGCTCTGGGGACAAACCAGAGGAACTCACCTCCTCAAACACACATTTCAGCAGCTCCAGCTGCCTTCTTAGCAGATCCACCTTCACCTCCAGCTCTTCCTTGTTCAAGAAGATACAGTCTGCGTCCTGAAAGAGATGAGATGCGCTCCAGCCCAATCTCGCTGAAACATTGGGGAAGCTCAGAGAAGACAGAGGCAGCGCCAATAAAAGAGATGCATGTTTCAACAAGATCTCAAGAGCAGAAAGGTGTGAGAGGATGAGTCAAGATGCCCCACTGTCTCCTCAAGGAAAACAAAGCCATTCCAACATGACTTACAGGGATTAGTTTATTTATTACTTAGGACTTAGCTACAAACTCAGAATTGACTAATGAGTGCATAAACATAATTTTTTAATATTGTTCAAATGATTTCTCCTTTTCTGATGTCCAAGTATAAAGGATGTAAAGAGACCATCAGGAAATAACCAGCCTCTTTAACATCAAGTGTGCCAGTGCAGCCTCTCCCACTCTGACCCCTTCCACGAATACACCCTCCCGTGACAATTTAAGAACGTGTTTGGGCTAAGAAAACTATTGTAGTAGTGCTGATGATGTGGACTTTGAGGGTATATTATTCTTGCTTTCTACTCCCATTGTCTCTGTTTCTGACTGTGCTTCTTTACAGGCCTCCCTCTTCCTGCTCGCTTCTGCCAGGCGTTTGCTAGCAGTGCATTATTTCAGCCAAGCTTTACACCAAATAAGCTCGTTAGAGGTATAACAACCCATTTATTCTGTGCTTCTCACCTTTTTCAGTGCTACAAACTCGTTCTCTACAGTTGTACGCCTGTTGATTTCCTCTTCATATCTGTTGGAAAAGGAGAAGAAAAAGGCTGAGGCAAGCAACACTCAAACACAGACAGCAGCCACCACGAGCAATAACAGCCTTCACTTGCCCAGAGACTCTCATCAGGCGCTGGAAGAGCAGTGTCTGGAAACCAAGCATTAGGCCAACCAGAGATTAGAAGCCTCGTCATGATATTACCAATGCAAAGAGCCTGCAAGCGAGGGAGAAGAATGCGCCGTCCCCGAAGGGGCTGCGCCACTGGGCTGGGAGCGGTTGCCTGCAGGAGAGCAGCGCCAGCAGCAGCAGGAGACCCGAGGGCCCTTACTTGCACTTGAACTCCTCCACCAGCTGGCTCGTGGCACACTCTTCGCTGCCCAGCTTTTGCTTTTCGCACAGCAAGCAGTCCAGGCGCTTCCGCAGGTCGCAGATGTAGTTCTCAAAGTACAGCTCGAGGTTCTTCCCTTTCTTCGGTAGCACGTACTGCTGCAGGAGGCCCCATTTGGTCTCCAGCACCTTGTTCTGCTGCTCCAGGAAGCGGACCTGAGGGCCAAAAAGCAGCAGTTCTTCAAAGAAAGAAGGGAAAGGCAATAACCCACACCTGATTTAACTGTCTGCCCCGACTTTGAAACCAGAGCTGGTCCTGCAGGCGTATGAATAGGACCTTAGGAAAGCGTGGGGCAATATGCCATAATATTCATGAAATTATCATGAAATCCAGCCCCTATTTAGGAATCTAGAAGTCACATGTCTGAATCTCTGCTAACTCCATTTCTCACTGATGACTGCAAATGAAGCTCCTCCAGAAGCTGCCTCTGATGTGCTGTAGGATGAGACAACGTCCCCAGCTGGAGGGACCTGTTTGTCTCTTCCCTACAGAGGGATCCTACCATGGCAGCTCAGCCTTAAACATCTAACATTTGGGTGCCTGAATTGAGATCAGCTTTCTCTGCCTTCAGGAACAGTTTTGGAACAGCCACTCCACGTAAAGACAAAGGGGAAAAGAGAGTCTAACACAGGACAGAAAGATGAGCCCATCTGAGCTCTAACTTCTGAGACAGAACAAGGCTGCAACAAGAAATCAGCCTTGGACTGAGGCCATCCAGAGAGGGGACAACTTCAGGAAGTCCGGTGCTGCCACAGACGGGACTGACCCCAGCAAATACTCAGGCTGAAGTGAGCCTTTCTCCAGCAGTGGAGATCCTGGTCTGAACAAACACAGCTCGGTGGGATCTGGACCCTTGCAGGGACCCAGCTCCGTAGCATAGGGCACAGGCAAGACTGGTGTTTTGGGGAGGGTTTGGGTTGTTTCCCCTTGTTTTTCCACTGAGAAACGTGGGTAGGGAGCAGCCTTGCACTCACCTTGTCGATGAAGCAGGCAAACTGGGTGTTGAGGGTCTTTATCTGCTCCTTCTCCTGGCAGCGTATTTCGTGCTCCAGTGGGTCGACCCCAACGCAGAGGGGCTTCAGGAGCCGCTCGTCGATGCAGATTCCTTGGATGCCGTCAGCCTTGCGATCAGGGTAGCCTCTGATGATGCTGTATCCCCTGGGGCCACAAAGGCCGACCCTTCCTCCGACACCACCGTAGCCTACACCTCCGAAGCCGAAGTCTCCGAAACATCCAGTACCACAGACCCCGTTCACGTAGGAAATTCTCCTGCTTCCACCCAGGTTGCAGACGCTCCTGCTGCTGTAGGCGCCAGCCCCGCAGCGGGCAGGTTGGCAGGCGGAGGCGGCGAAGCTTCGGCCGCAGATCTCCGAGGCTGAGCTGAAACCTCTCCGTCCCAGCACGGACCTCACCGTGGGCGCCTGTCTGCTCATCGCGGCTCCCGTGGAGGTGGAATGTGGAGGTTCGGGGGAAGCTCTGCTGCAGGAGAGGAACGGAGATCCCGCTGCAGTGACACCTTGACGCTACCCCTTATATATATTTGGGAAGCTGGCCTTGATAGGATCAGGACATTAATTTAAAGCGCTTAAGGGTTTGGTTTGCCTGGCAGCAATGAATGCTCCTCAAAATGCAAAACAGCCCAGCAAATACTAACTACTGAGGAAATAAAAAGGAATCTAAAAGTGCTCTGTTTGCAAGTTGGCTTAGAATACATTACGGTTTGAAGTGCTCCCCTAACTTACGCTAATTATAGTTTAGCAAACATTTTTGAAGAAACTCTTTGTGATTTGTTTGCAGTGTGTCGTTTGGGGTTTTGTGTCTCATGGGGTTTTGTGTATGATGGCATATTTTGCAGACTTGCACTTTGTGGGGTTAATTTCACAATCTCTCCTTTTTTCTCTCACCAGGCTCATTTTGGGTGCGGAAAAGTAATAACAACAAAAAAGAAATCAGCCATGAAAAAAAAACAAAACAGTGGAAGTTATGTTATGATGCCTGAAACACTGGTAAATTTACTGAGTTATGGGTTTGGATTCATATGCAACGACTCAGAGTGCCCCCCCCCACCAAAAAAAAAAAAACTTCCCTTGCAGCATTTCACACCAACCTTCACTTACCACCACAAAACACCACCAAAACAGAGCAAATTCATCCAGAAAATGAGGCACCTTTCCATTGGCCACTAGATTTATGTCCTGTGACATCCCAGTGATGTTTTTCACTCAAGCAGTGCTGAAAACTCTTAACCCGAGGTCCATTTGACACAGTTAAATCTTTGTCCCTCGCTATGTGGAAGTTCCTACCCATCTGGACGTCAGAGACCTTTTGCTTCATCTTCTGGCAGTACCTGCAGGTAGCAAAAAATGATTGGCTGCGTGTTTCAGGCTGGTGAGATCCACCACATTCAAGAAGCAACAGCTGAAGGATGGGTGACTTTGCCAGGCACGTCCTTGACTCAATGGGGATGCACTCAGAGAGAGACAACAGCCCCTGGGCCGGTGTCTGGGGGAACTGGGGTGATTCACTCTCCACAGGCATTGGTCTTTCTCCATCAACAGAGGAAGCCTTAATGAGTAGATTAGACGGACACCTGAGATGGCTTTGACTCACATTGGCCAGAGAATCCCTCTCTCCTAATCACCAGCCCAGGGAGGTGAGACACTGAAACAACCATCTCTGGCTCTTCAACAAACTGAACCTCAGAAAGGCAGAGCAACCGGGCTTTTCCAGCTCTTTGGGGATAAAGCCCTTGGGAGACAAGACATTACCGTGCACACAACTGATAGCCCTCAGCCCTTCCTCACCAAAGGGGATCTGAGCTCCGAGAAGGCTGCTGCTGCCTATAGATGTGCGGGTATCTGGAGGCAGCCAGTAGCCATGTTCCCTCACCCTCTTTTTAACCCCCCTCTGAAGGCATTTTCATTGCAAATCACAAAACCAACGCTAAACCTCCTTAAAATGTTAAGCCTTCTAATATCAAGCTCTCTGAAAAGGATACACGCATCGAAACTCAGAAAGCCATAAGACGTGACTACAACGCTGAGATTCACGAGGCTATTAATTGAAGGCGTAATTGCAACTTACATGAGTTTGAGGGTCTGGTGGTATAAATTAGTTGCGTAAACTGATGCTCTTGCCTTATACAACTGGAATAATTCAACATGTTTATAGCATGACTTTCAGATTACACCTTTGTCTGTAATATTTTAGGCTCACTGTTCATGCTGGGTTGCCAGCACAATTGGCAATATCAGTTAAAACATACCGCTGGCAAATACAGGAGACTTCAAGCTAAAGCTTGTAACTTCTACAATCTTTTAAATTCTAAACAAAGGTTGATCGGAAGTGAAATGCACATTTGAATCCAAAGAACAGTACAAAAGGCAATTGTTTCAGCTCTCTCACTCAGCTAGAGCTGCCACGCATTCTACATGGCAAGGCTGCGTCCTGAATCAGAAGTCGGGCTGGGAGCTGCCGTGCTGCCGCTCCCTTTCTGCACCCCATTATACACGTCGGCTGCGTGAGGGACACCTGGAACTTATCACAGACTGCAATTAGACGTCTGCAAACCAACTGCGCTGCATCAGCCCCACTTCCAAAACTTCTCACCAGTGCTGCCGGCTTCACGCAAGGTAAGAGATTTGTCCAGTATTGAGAAAAATGTTGGTGTTGGCCAAACTCCTGCTGTTGCTCATGAGCCACGCTGAGAAGGCAGCATTGCAGGAGGTTCACTTAATGTCTTCTAGGTCTTTCCAAGGAGCACCGAATGTTTCATCTATTGACATGTAAGATCTCAGGAACCAACAACTTGTTGTGAGTAAAGACATGAGAAATGGGAGAAGCAAAAATTGCATTTTTTAAGAAAAGGTAATTCATCATACTTACTTCTTTTTTGAGGGAGAAGGGGGGACAGAGGAAGGAAAGAAGAAAAATATTTTGATGAGGGGTTGAATGAATCATTTTAACGACTAGCAATCTCTCCCTTTGTCAGCATTCTTCTCCCTGTATGTGCTGCTGAAAATGGAATTCATTATGAGAACATGTGAAGTTCACTAATTTGTTTGTTGCCTCTGGAGATGAATCTCAACTAGCTCTTAAAATATATTTTATGCGATAGTCTCAAAGAACCATGCTCCATCTCTGTAATTATAGACAGCCATAGAAAACTCCTTGCATTCAGATAGGACAATGGCAATAACAGCGTTTGATAGGCATAAGATTGGGTTGTAATATGCATTTTTACACACGCACAGCTTCATGGACTATATAGACTCTTGTCCATGACATTCACAAGGTGTTAAAGAATTGATTTGGTTAGTGCATCCTCATCCTCTTGTATCCTAAAGCCAAGGTCATCCATGAGAATTCAGTGTGGTAATGTATTTTTTCCTCTCATTAGCCTCTGTCTACTCTATGTCAGAAGTCGAGGCTGGGATTTTCAAAGGATGTTCCTCATAAAATTCATCAAACACTGGGCCTGGATTTGCCTCCCTCCCAACTTCAGCCATCAAACTGGCCGTGTATTCTAATTTCATCTTTGAGACTCCCTCTATGGCTAATGTAAGGAGATAGGCATCTCCAGACGGTGATTCATCACATCCTAAAATAGGCAGCTAGGATAGGTGGGAGGAAGCAGCCTCTGGAGGCACTTGCCTCGCTCTTTATTGACTACCAGAGGCAGTCTAGACAACCAGACAACCAGACCAGGCGCCCAACTTCTGGATGGTTAAAGTTAGGCAAAATTAGTCCCACCCTTTGGGCGCCGAATTTCTTCAGCACCTTTGAAGTCTTAATGAGAGTACACAACATCACACGCTCCCTAGATCTGCTCGGTTCCTGCTGTACACGTATGTCATATCTCCGCGTGGTGATTAGCACCTGTAAATCTGAGGCTCCCAACAAAGCAAAGGATTGGTTTGATCTTTTTCCACGCTGATGTCTTCCTCCCACAGAACAGCACAGTGGAAATAAGTGTGGGATGTATGGGAACCCAGGCCCTTGAATGGGGTGGAATCACACTGCCTGTTAAAGCAATAAGATCAGAAAAGGAAAGGAAAACATTGCGGCTATTACTAGGCTACGGCAGCCTCCCTGTAAAGCTGGAGGAACTCTTCTCCCTTACCACTGAAGCTGTTTGCTTGGGCAGGAGGGATTCTGTGAGCCCTGCAGAGGAAGAATTGCCCACAGAGGCTGGGCCAGGTCCTCCTGGGAAGCATGTTCAGGTGGCAGGAGATACCTCTGCCTTTTGTTATGCTAAGGCACTAATGCCCAAGCCCTTGTTTGACTTGATTCGTGTAGCTTTGTGATGTGCTGCTGAATTCCTGATGAAGCGCCCGGCTGATTCATGAAGCACTGATGTTCAGAGAGGCTGGTCACAGCTTTAAAGAAAAGCACTTCCTAAATTAACTTATCAGATCAGAACCTTGAAATGGTGAGGGGGGAGGCTGGAGGTGAGACAGCAACACTAATTCTGTGTCACCTCTCTTATTCTTCTCTTGTGACAGAACCACCTGTTTTCAGTGGAAACACCATAACCTTTTTGAGATACTTAAACCCCTCTTCATGAATATTTACAACTGCTCCATTTTCTTTTGTTGTCAAATCTTTCCTGTGGTTTTCTTCATTAAAGATCATGACTGTTTTCTTTTGTATTCCTGATTGTTCTCTTTGTATATGATTGGGAAAGGGCATCTTATCACACAGGAATTACGGAGGGAGAGAAAGCTCTTCCAGTTCTGAATCACGATAATTGCTTCCGATAGAAAAGACCTTCCCTCTGGATTCCCCCTTTTGTAAAACACGTATAAGCCTGGCTGGCACCTACATGGTTCATTTCTTTGCTCTGCTAGTTAGCTTTCATCAGTTCAATCGCAAAACAGTTTAGTCCTTTGTGGTTGGTTTATGGCACCAATTTGTTGGCTTCTTTTTTAATCTGCTCAAGCGAACAACAAAATGTCTCCCTCTGATCAGTTTTGAAATCCTAAACTGGTAGTCATAGGATTTTCAAAATGATGCTGAAAAAAAAAAAGCAACCAAGCATATTCCTGAGTTCTTTTCTATAATGACCCTATTGCAGAAGCTTTTGAACAGCTATAAAATGTGTTTTATCATCACACCTCTGTAGTAGACACGCTATAAAAATGCAAAGCAACTGAGATGAGGTCTCTGTGAATCTTGTAACACCCATTGAATAGCATTGGGAAGGAGCCAAATTTACTGCAAATTGGCATAAATAACCTGACTTTAAAAGGCTTGTGTAATTTACTCCAAGCAAAGTCGGTGCTGCACAACACTCACTGGACAACCCTGCTACCTCGGCTTAGCTGTTAAGGCTTCTAATCAACAGATACGCCTGAACTGGGCTTTTCTGTAGTCTTGGGAAATGCTAAAACCCAAGCAACAAAACATTCGTCTCCATGCACTTTATTTGGGGAAAAAAAAAAAAAAAAAAAAAAAATAGATCAAAAAATGCAGAGCTCTGTAGTCACCAAGGCAGAAGCGAGGGTGCTGTAATTCATGCGGATGTCAAAGCACAGACCGCCTGTCAGGACGCTAAGGAAGGAAGCTAATAGAAGCACAAGCAATGCAATTACTCTTTGCTGACTACAGAAGGTGAAATGTATCTTTTTTTTTTAATTGAGATTTCCTTTATGACTTGCCTGCCTGCATATGGATGACCCATCAGCTCCAAGACAGCGAACAAAGAGCCCCTGGAGTCCTGCCCCTCCCCTCCGTGACCCCGCGCCACCAGCACAACTCCACCAACTCGTCTAAAATTACATCGGGCAGACTTTGATGAAATGGAGAGTCCCACAGGCTCATTTCCAGGAAAACTTCCAGAGGCAATTTAGGGAAAGGTTTTGAATTAAATATCTCAACTTGTTTCATAGAAAGCGAAGGCTTAATCAGGAAAAAAAAAGGGAAGATAAGGCTGGTGGGAAGTGGGAATTGAGTGATAACATGACAAGTGCCCCAATCCAACCTCCAGACCTTTAAAGAAGCAGCATTAAGCAAGAAGCATATGTGTTAAGCATCTATTTTTTGATGCGATCCTGGTGGAGTTCCTCTGATGTGGTTTCCTAATGTTCTTCTACCCAGGATGCCTCTTCCCCTCGTGTAAGGTGGGGTGGGGGACATTTTGCTGCTGCAGGTGGAACAGGGCTATGTTTTTCTGCTTTAGCTCTTGCCTCCTGCTTATCCTGCCTAGCAGAGCAGGTGCTCAGATGCAGGTATTCCTGGGGCACAGAGGCCCAACTGGGATCCCCTTCTGTGGCCAGTGCACCACCTGTGAGCAAGCCGGGTTTCCTGAGCTCTGCGCAGCTCCGCAGCTCTCCCCAGACCGCCTGCCAGCCCCTTTGCAGAGCCCATCGGCACCCATGGGGGCCGAGCTCTGGCACGAATGGCCCCCACATCCAGAGCTACTCCTGGGGAAGCAGCCACAGCTGGGAGCACCAGAGACCCAGCACCTCCCTGCAGAGCTGGCGGCGCTTCTCGAGGTGAACCCCCCATGGCGAGCTGCAGCATCTCCCGGCTGGGATGCTCTCCCAGCACCACAGAAGGACCCGTGTCTTCTGCACTGCAAACCAGGTCCACAGCCCGGGCTGGCTTTGGAGCCAGAGGATCTGTTGCAAGGTGTGGTGATCGCTGTTATGGGAAAACACAGGCTGAATCACTCGGGGAGCGCTTCCCATGGGGATAGTGCAGCCTTTCTGCACCCCGCTGCAAACCAGCACTGGCTTTTTTAATGTCATAAGGAAAACAGAAAACCTCGAGCTTACTTACATACTCTCATGGGGCTCCAGATGCGTATCCTGAAGGGGAAGAAAGTCAGAAGGGTATCTGTCATATAACTAGCATTTCTAGCATTTTCCAGTCTCCGTGTCTCTGCTGAAGTGTCCCGAAACTGAGCACTGCACGCACACTGTTGCAGAGGTACCCACCTGCTCTCTTCACCCTCCAGTAAAGTCTTATAGGTTGCAATCTCAATGTCCAGGGCCAGCTTGACGTTCAGCAGCTCCTGATAACCCCGCAGCATGCAAGCCAGCTCGTCCTTGGCCTTCTGGAGGGCGTTCTGCAGCTCCGTGTGCTTCTTCTGCGCATCCTTCAGGGCACAGTCCCCACGCTGCTCAGTATCCTTAACTGATGTTTGCAGAGAGAACACCTGTATCGGAGGCACAGAATTCCTCACTTTCCCTGCCCAATGTCTTCCATATTTTCCTATAAAAGAGAAATTCTGTCTTCTTTTGAAATGAAGTATCGATGTTGCTTTTAGGGAAGGCAAATATTTCCAAAATCAAATCTCAGTTCTGAAACACTACAGAATAGATCTCTGTACTGTGAGGCTGTGTTAAGCTTTGTTTTGAGGATACTAATACTTCTAATAGCTCTAATTGGAACTGATAATTATGGTTTTCCATTACTTCCCGTTATAAAATATATAATGAATCAGATGGTCTGAAAATTATACTAGTTCCAATGGGTGGTGAATTACTGGTGACTCATAATTCTACCCTACTTACTGGATGCTTTGAACCTGTGTCAGAAGCATTGTCTCCTGCCAGAATTCTTGCTGGAGCAATTGTCTGTGTGCTGTAGTAAATCCAATGATCTAATATGGCGATTTTTTTTTTTTTCAATAATCAAAATGATCCAGCAGAAAACAGGGCAGCACAGCAGATTAGCCTTTTTCCCTGCTCCACAGGGCTAAGATCTTCTCTAGAGTAGTGGGACCAGTGTGAGGCACTGCTCTTCAGCAAAGACAAAATAAATGCAAGAGATGTAGAAAACCAGACTTGCTATATCCCACCTAGGAGATTCAGTGAGTAAATATGGCCCACGATACCTGCTTCTTCATGTTTTCAAGGTCACACTGCCACCTCTGGATCGCAAAACTCAGCTCTTCAATGTGTTGCTGGTGGGACTTGAGTTGACTGCAATGACTCCTCTTTGCCTCCTCAAGCTCTTGGTACTGACAGAAAGACAAAAGAGAGCTGGCAATCAATACTGGTAGCATAGGCAGCAGAGGAGCCTTGCCTCTGTTTCCAAAGTAGACTAACTTTAGAAAAGTCCTCATGCTATTGCTTTGGGGATGTTCTCCTGACTTGGAGACTCCGCCAAGTTTAGCAGAACAGAAAACTAGGTCCATAAGTTACGTAGTCAAGACAGAATGAAAGAAGTCCTTGCCTCTGAACTGCTGCCTTCTGACAGCTACATGAAGGACATGTTACTGTTTGCTGCAACTTACCCTAGTTCTGTACAACGCATCCAACTCTGTCTTGCTTTTCTGAGCTGCATCCTCATACCAGCACTCAACGCTCCTGAGGATGCCCTCCATGTCCAGACCTCGGCTGTTGTCCATTTTCACAACAACGGAGGTATCACAGAGGCTTGTCTCCAGCTCAGCAATTTCCTAGAAGCCGTATGAAGTGGCTGTCAGCACTGGGTTTCCTATCTCGCAGCCCAGTGGCCGTAACACCACCCCTGAGAGTTTGTCTGGAGCCACAGCCCGTGAGTTGTGGCTAGAGTTGGTCATGCATGCAGCTTGAGGGTTTGGGGCTTTTGGAGATCTTCTTTATTCCCGCTAGCCTCTCATAGGGACCCTGATGGATTGGTTTAACTGGGACTAAATCAGTGTAAACAAGGAGTGGCTGGTAAGAATAGCTGCCATCAACAAGAATGGGAGAGGAGCATCCATACCTGAGCCGACACACACTTCAGGAACTCTGTCTCCTGCCTTAGGGTTTCCAGCTTTGCTTCCAGCTTTGCCTTGGTCAGATAGACACAGTCCGCATCCTAAAAGAGTTCCCAGACATTTAGAAGTCAAAATGGTGGCTACGTGGAGACCTAAGTAACTTTACTGAGTTTTTAGTATAGGAAATTTTGTTTAGGAGATGTAGTTGTTCACCTCTGAGGAGTGCCAGAGGCTTATGCAATATTGCTGAGTTCTTATGCTCCCTGGCAATACTCTGCAGCATATTTTTCTGAGTCCATAATTGTCCAATGACTTATAATATTCTCAAAATATTATGGCAAAACAGAGGAAACTTTTCGGATGTCTGAATCCAACACTTCCATTCATCCCAATTCCTTACCTTCTTCAGTAACACGAACTCGTTCTCAGCAGCTGTGCGTCTGCTGGCTTCCTGCTCGTATCTGTTGGGGAAGAGAAGGGACTGGTTGCTGGGTCATGCTGGTGCTGGAGACCTTCCAGCATCCTGGGTATTTAGGGCTCAGGGTGCCTTTGGACCTCAGCCTTTTGTTAGAGAGAAGTCTGTCGATATGTATAGAAGTCCATTAGAAAAATCTGTCTAGCTCCCTGCCCCATGAACTTACTTGCATTTGAACTCTTCAACCAGCTTCTCTGTGTTGTTCAGCTCAGGCTCCATCCTCTCCCTCTCATGCAGCAGCGAGTCCAGCCGCCTCTGCAGGCTGCAGATGAAGTTGTCGAAGACCTGCCTGAAGTTCTTCTGTGATGGCAGGACCTGCTTTTGGAGGAGGTTCCATTTGGTGGCCAGCAGCCTGTTCTGCTGCTCCAGATGCTGCACCTGCATTCAGAAGGCAAAGCCACCCTCGTTGGGCACACGCTTTGGTGCATCAAAAAGGGACCAGATGAAGGTGGGGGGAACAAGGGGACTTCTCTTCCGAGTTAATGCTCCAGGGGCTCATTATGGTTCGAAGGGGACGAGAGGGCAAAAGGGGAGCATTGCAACCTTCATAACCCAAGAATCCAAGAGCAAACGGGGTGTGCTGCTCTCCCAGTCTCCAAGGAAGCCCCACAGACTTTGTGGTTATGGGGTATTTAAACACCTTTGTAGGCCAACTGGCTGGTAGCAGAAATCATCCTTTGGCTGTTGACAACACAACTTTACAAGGTCTATCTGTGCAGAGAGGGCAAGAGTGCAGAAGCGCAGCAAGGTACGTTGGAAGAACAGCTCGCTTCAGCTACTAATAACGCATACAGCTGCAGCCTGTCAACACATAAATAATCAGGTTAAAATAACATTATCAGCTAGATCTGCACTTGCATCTCATGGTGCTGGAGCCATGCATGCTAAAACCAGCATCAGGGCCATGTAATGGGACAGGAAAAGGAGAGGAATCAAAGACCTGAGCACAAAAAAGGGTTCCTTTATACTTAAAGCCCATCATTCCTTTAATCTCGCCTCAGCTCTCACCTTGTCAATCAAGCAGGCAAACTGGTTGTTGAGACTCTTCAGCTGCTCTTGCTCCTGTCTTCGGATGTGCTGCATTTCAGGGTCGATCTTCACATCAAGAGGCTGCAGCAGGCTCTCGTTGACGTGCACCGCACGAATACCTTCACTTCTGCAGATGAAGGCACTCCCCTGACCCCCCCTTCCACTACAGGCGTGGACACCCCTGCGCCCCCACCCTCCACAGCCTGCCTGTGCCAGGCAGTGGCCAGCAGAAATCCATTTCCAGCCCCCAACATCACGAAGGCTTTGGCTGCTCCAGGCTCTGTGCCCTCTTCCCGGTGGTGCAGCAGAGGGGAAGGTGCTGCTCCGACAGCAGCTCACGCCACTCACAGCAGAAGATGCTGAGAAATTCCTCCCATGAAGACACCTCCCTGCTGACAGCTGCTGGCTCATGCTGGCAGACGTGGCGGGGGAGAGGATCAGGGATGTGGGGCTGCTGGAGGAGAGCAGCTCAAAAAGGGGCCCCTCTGCTCTGACACCCCTGAGCGCCTCCTTTATACGCATCCCAGAATTGGGGCTTGGTTGATGCAGATGAATAATTTGGGGTTTTCATGGGGTTTGCCTTGCCTGGCAGCAATTTGTAGGTTTAAATATGCAAAACAATGCATAACACTGAACATTTGTGAAATCCTGTGGAATTGTGCTGCTTTTGAATTGCTTTGCTTGCATTCCAAGCTTGGAGGACACCGTGTGCTGGGTTTTGTAAGGATTCTTTTTTCAGCTTGTCCTCCTTCCTTCCATTAATTACAGCTTAGCAAGAAGGACATACCCTTAAGAGTATCTCCCACTCTGTCCAAGAAACTCTGTAGAGGAATGTTCTGCTGAACAGCAAATTAAAACTGATCCTTGCATTATCTATTCTTTCCCCAGTCACTCCCTTGGGAGTCTCCGAGGCATCTCACCCAAAAGCAAAGACAGCACGTGTCCACCAGCCACAGGCAGCCCCACACCTGGAAGCTGGGAAACACAGAGGATGAGACGCACCAATTGGTACAGAAGGGTGAAATATTTATTTTTACAAACAGCCCTCCGGACACCATCCCTGTGCTGAGGCTGCTCACTAGCAGCCTCTCTCTTCTTCGTCAACTCCAACAAAAGTCTAAGCTGACAAGCTCAGGCTTAGATGACCAGCTTTTGGAAGCATAAATTAGAGCAGTTCTAACATCTCATTAAGTTTTTAGCCCAGATTTTATAAAAGACACCAAAAAAATGAGACTTTCTTGAAGATGACAAATACCCTAGATAGGAGACTTAGCCACAAAGCTGTTACCTGGATGCTCGTTAACCATTTAATTGGGAACAGCGGCAGGCTTAGCCCTGGTGGGAAGACTATGAATGCACCAGCAACCAGTACCAGGTAAAAACATGTACCTTATTAATAGGGCCGCTGTATGGCTGCTCTCTGTTACTATCCTTTATACCTGAGCTTGTAATTAAAACTCTCGGGATACCTCAAGGCAAATAAAAATGATTTATTAGAGTTGCTTGACAGCTGGGGAAGAAAAGGCTGATACGTTTAATATATTTGCTGAGAGCCTCACAATGCCTCAGAGGTGGGGCCAGGATTACATCTCTGTCCTGGTGGCTTCTTTCCAAAGCCTCTTTCAAAACAGAAAGGCAAATGGTTTCATTTCAGAGGGCTTGAAATGAAAGGTTTTCCCCTGCTATTATGCCATCTTAATCCGTAACTTTTAGTTGGCTTTAGTTGGCTTTTTTTTTTTTTTTTTTTTTTTTTTTTTTTGTCAATTAAATGTTTATATGCTTCAATTGGAGAAGGAAAAAAAAAAAAAAAAAAGCATTTCAATTGCTCATTTCTTCTCTGGGCTTTGCAGGGATTTTTTAAATTATTTTTCTCACTTCCTCATTTCATGGGAGGGCTTTTTCACCACCTTTCGCAAGAAGGCTGATGAAAAGCAAAACGGGTTACCAGAAACCTTGCTGGTATTCCGGCTCCTGGAGCGGCTGGTGCCCAAGGTTTTCTCGTACCTCATTATTTGCAAATGCTCTGCGCTGGAACAGTTTGCCCTTAGCCCAGCAAGGGAGACAATCGATGGTATGCAGTAGCTGGAAAGACAACCGGCTTAATTGCAGGTTCTTGACAGCACTATCAATTACACCCACACTCCGAGGAGCAACAGTGATTGAAGCCCTGGGTGCCTCACCGCCCGCTTAAATGCAGGCAGAGTCCGTGGCAGCCCCAGCTGGAAGAGCAGGATCGGAGCCCACGAGGAGGACACTTGGCCCGGAGCTGCACCGGCTGCTCTGCACCCATTTTGTGCTTCCAGCCCGGCCCTCCCCGGCCTCCCACTGAAGACCATTGCTGCACCCAGGGGTGGGCATTGGGACACCCGTGTCCTCCCGCACCACGCAGGTGGCGAGCTCACCCACTCCACCCAGTGAAGAGAGGCTGAGCCTTCCAGAGAGGCAGGGTGAGCACTGGGTCCTGCTCCCTCGATGTGTTTGGAGCCTACAGGGTTACAGCTCCTGCTTTGGAAAGTTTTCTTCTCCTGCACATGCTTTGATGAGCAAAACTCACAAACTCAGGTTTTTGTGTGCTCCCAGATGTAGCAAAAAGTTCCTCTGTCCGGACCAGCCTCACCCCTGACACCACCACCTCCCCCACCTCCCCACAGTCCTGGTGTCCCTGATGGCCCCAGCTCCCCAGAGGACAAGGGATGCCACCAGAGGCAGCACGTGTGCACACCATCTGCTCGTGGGGGCACTCTGGGCTTAAAACCCACCAGATCTGCCCACTTCCTTCTGGTTGGTGGCACTCTGTGTGCCCCTGAACAGAGGTGGCCGTATGTGTTTGTGAGCACTGAGGAAGCAGCAAGGGGAACAGCGACCAGGGCAATCACAGCTTGTCAATCCTCTAACCGCCAGGAATTTTGGAAAGAGGCCCAGCAGCGAGAACAGGAGGCCCATAATTCTCATGGTGCTACAATGGTGCCGTGCCCAGCGTCACAGCTTTTTGCCAAAGTAAAGCAAGGGAATGAACGTTTTGTTCCTGCCACCTCTGCACGGCAGAGGGCTGCAGCCCCAAGCTCCACCGCCCAGGATGGCGCCCGGGGGCCATCTCTGCACAGCTCTGGCCCAGCTCCTTTCTCCCACCAGGTGGTGGCATCGAGCGCACCCTGAGCATCCCCACCCGGCCGTGGTGGTGCTCCTGCGCCCCGTCCAACGCTCCCCGCTAGCAGGAGCTGGCTGGCACCTGTAGAGGGCAATATTTAGAAGGCATGGGGACAACGAGGTCCTCAGCCGTGCCAGAAGGTGAGATTTCCTACGGGTTTGTACCCCCAGGTTTGCACCTCTCGTGCACGTCAGGGTGTGCCCCGAATAGACCAACACAAACACACACACACCGAGGAGGGTTTCAAGCTTTTAGTTCCCAAAGAAAAAGGTCCCAAACGGCCTCAGTGGAAGGGCTCAGAGCAATACAAAGAAAGTCTACGGAAACAATAGCAAACATCACAATACAGACGTAAAACAGAGGTGAGCCCGTGGTGAGCAGGTTACAGCACTCGGTGCAGGCAGAAGAGCGCCCAGGGTTGCAGGTGACGTGGGCAGATGAGCGGTGACAGGGGGCTGGGCCTCCAAAACAAAGGCAATGCCCTTGCAGATTTTTGCATGCAGATGTTATTGTGGTAGGGTTCTCTGGAAGAAGGCTGGGTCCCTGACTACATCCCCAGGCAGACAAGCATCTCCTCCCCCCGCGAGCAGGCCACCCTCCATCAGTCCAATTCCCAGCCCCATCCTCAGGACCAAACCATTCAAGTCCTCCACAACCTGAAATGCATCACTGATATTCCTCCTCCCCGAAGCTGCTCCTATGTCCAAAGCCAGACCCAATTCGGCCAGAATGAGAAAGGTCCCCAGACCTTGACCCCAGAGCACTAGAGCTATACCCTTCATGGACAGAACTGAAGGAATCCCCAGAGGTGGACACCTCACAATGAAAACCTTCCCCACCAGCAGATGTACAGGAACCATATCCTGAGCTACCACAACCTCCAGACATGGAGCCTCTCCTACCATAGTTGCCTCCAGAGCTAGAGCCTCCTCCATAGCCTCCTCCTCCTCCACAGATGGACCCTCCACTGCCGTAGCTCGATCCGCCATGACCTGAGCTTCCAGAGCCTCCAGGAATGGACCCACCACCTCCATAACTTCCTCCTATGCCAGAGCCTCCTCCTCCTCCACAGATGGACCCTCCACTTCCATAGCTTGATCCACCATGACCTGAGTTTCCACCTTCACCCGATATGGACCCTCTTCTCCCACCAGAGCTAGAGCCTCCAGAGCCTCCTCCTCCTCCACAGATTGACCCTCCACTGCCGTAGCTCGATCCACCATGACCTGAGCTTCCAGAGCCTCCAGAAATGGACCCTCTCCTGCCACAGCTGCCTCCAGAGCTAGAGCCTGCTCCAGAGCCTCCTCCTCCTCCACAGATGGAGCCGCCACTGCCGTAGCTCGATCCACCATGACCTGAACTTCCAGAGCCTCCAGAAATGGACCCCCTCCTGCCACAGCTGCCTCCAGAGCTAGAGCCTCCTCCAGAGCCTCCTCCTCCTCCACAGATGGAGCCGCCACTTCCATAGCTCGACCCACCATGCCCTGAGCTTCCAGAGCCTCCAGAAATAGACCCACTGCCTCCATAACTTCCTCCAGAACCTGAGCCGCCTCCTCCTCCTCCACAGATGGACCCTCCACTGCCGTAGCTTGATCCACCATGACCTGAGCTTCCACCTTCACCCGATATGGACCCCCTTCTACCACCAGAGCTGCCTCCAGAGCCTCCTCCTCCTCCTCCTCCTCCACAGATTGACCCTCCACTGCCATAGCTCGATCCGCCATGACCTGAGCTCCCAGAGCCTCCAGAAATGGACCCTCTCCTGCCACAGCTGCCTCCAGAACTAGAGCCTCCTCCAGAGCCTCCTCCTCCTCCACAGATGGAGCCTCCACTTCCATAGCTTGATCCACCATGCCCTGAGCTTCCAGAGCCTCCAGAAATGGACCCACCACCTCCATAACTTCCTCCTATGCCAGAGCCAGAGCCTCCTCCTCCTCCACAGATGGACCCTCCACTGCCGTAGCTCGATCCACCATGACCTGAGCTCCCAGAGCCTCCAGAAATGGACCCTCTCCTGCCACAGCTCCCTCCAGAGCTAGAGCCTCCTCCGCCTCCACAGATGGAACCTCCACTGCCATAGCTCGATCCGCCATGACCTGAGCTTCCAGAGCCTCCAGAAATGGACCCTCTTCTCCCACCAGAGCTGCCTCCAGAGCCTCCTCCTCCTCCACAGATGGACCCTCCACTGCCATAGCTTGATCCACCATGACCTGAGCTTCCACCTTCACCCGATATGGACCCCCTTCTACCACCAGAGCTGCCTCCAGAGCCTCCTCCTCCTCCTCCTCCTCCACAGATGGAGCCTCCACTGCCATAGCTCGATCCACCATGACCTGAGCTTCCAGAGCCTCCAGAAATCGACCCTCTCCTGCCACAGCTGCCTCCAGAGCCAGAGCTTCCTCCTCCTCCACAGATTGACCCTC